AGTAGACTGTGCAAGGCAGCAACTTATTCTCTTAACCTTACGTCCCAAATGGAGAAGGTAGTTGTCAGATCCTCTGACAATGGATGTTTCGCATAGGTATGTCTACTATTGTGTTCCTGTGTGATTGATCTGAAATTTTCTGTGGATGGTTTGGCAGCATACCAAATGAACAAGCAGCTAACAATTAACGAGCTTACTGGAATCAGTTTTCAAAATTTGCCTTACAATTGAACAAAACCTAGGATGATGTTAATCCACAGGCTTGAATGTTGTTAGTCATAATTAGATTGTTAGCACAATCAAATTTAAACCAGATCCTTCAAGTATGTAAAGGTAGGAGTTGTGAAAAGATGCATCTATTTTATGAGCCTGCTTGGTCTATATAGCCTCTTAATCTTTTAAATTTATTTTTTCAAAGGACTTTAGAATACAAACGTATAGAATGGCTGGAGGAGAAACATGTGCTAACTCAGCGCATCACAGAGAAAGAAGAGAAATACAACCAAGTGAAGAACAAGTTATGTCGAGCTGCCGTTGCTCAGAAAAAGGCACGTTGACTTCTCCTTTATGAATGATCCATCTTATGAAAAGTTCAGCTTTACTTTGGCCAGATACAATTGTTTTAATATTAAGATTTTATTTGCAGTCTACTGTATATAATAAAATATATCCGGTTCTTCAAGATTAGCACAGAAATAGGCTGAAGTGATATGCAATAGAATATTATGGGCAACAACTTTGTTATAATGCCATCGAAGATTTTTGTGAGCTTTTTTTTGCACATGCACGCGCACATGTGTGTGTACGGTTATTTAAGAGGTGGGCTCCTTTGTGAATAAGGATGATGTTTCAGATACTAGACAAATTATGTTCTGCTTTTCCTTGATGGAATATTAAATTTCTTTATCTTCTCCTAAGCTTACTTTTTATGAAATAACTTGAAAGGAAAAGCTGATTAATTGTTTATAAAAGCTCAGTATTAATTGGCAGTTTTATACATTGGACATATACAGGCTATGAAATCTACCAGTAGCTTTTAAGGTTGTAAAAAGTTGAGGCCAACATGAGCAAAAAAACCCCCAAGCAAGCATACATTTTTGGGGGTCATATTTATACTTATTTATACATGGTCATTTAAAGAATGAGTTTTGTAATTCTCAAATACAGTTAAGTGGTTGTTTATAGTCACTGACCAATGAGTGACTGACATATGTGCACCTTCTAGGTGCAGCTATGGATCATTTCTATCTCTTCTCTTTCCCATCAAGGGAATTCAGAATCCTCAAACAACACAGCACCTCTTCTTAAGGAAGGAAAATCCTAAAAAGTGTCACAGCTTGAAACTATGGACAGTGTAGATTTAATTTTTACAGGATCAAATCTATCAAGGCTTTACTTACCTGTTTGAAATATTTGTTTTACAGAGAAAGACTCTCAATGATAATAAACAAAGGAGGATGCAAGAGAAACTAGAACTTTTGGAAGCCAAGATGGAAGAATTAGAAAAAGAAAATCAGGTGTTAAATAGGTAATAAACTTTTCCTTAACTTGAAAAATTATATATGCCCAAGACCATACTTACAAATATGAAGTATTTTTGAAGATACATGACACTTGATTTAGTAACTGGAGTCCAGTCTACTGGCATTTTCCACACTAGAAATCTTGGAATGGAGTCTGTTTAGGATGGGCAGCTGAGACCTTATAAGACAACTGCAGGGCTGCCTCTTCTGGAAGAAATAGAGGCAAAGTATCTGATAGATGCAGTTGCAGGAATATTTTCAAAAGAAGGGAGTGAAAAAGACTTCAGAATTGCAAAAGAAACAGATTTAGCATCCTCTTTGAAAGACAAACTCCTATTTTTTTCTCTTCATTGAGCACCTATAGAGGGCCTTGATTCAAATAATTAATTTAATGTGGCTCACTACTGTGAATGCTATTAAAAGCTTAATCTATTCCTTGAAATTCTAACCTGTAATACAGCAGATAGCTTAATATGCAGAGAGACTTTTAGATATTTACGCAGAAGAATATACACGGGTCTTCCACCTTCCAGTTCTTCTAGAATATATTTTTCCTTCATAGTGATAGTAAACAGCTTCAGTGGTGGGATAATAAAGATTCTGAGCAATAAGAAATCTCATTTCTTAGGCAGAATGTTTCCTATGAAGAACATGCACGGCTCCAGAAGAGACTAAAGGACTTGCAACGTAGGCACAATGAATTCCGGAGTTTAATTCTGAATCCTAACATACCATCGCTCAATCCAGTCAGTATGATGTCATCATCTGCCTTGCCTCCTGGGCCTGAAGTGTCCTTCCCCCTTCTTCAGGTGGTGATGTATTACAAGTTGTGAAAGCAGTACAACAAAAGAGGGTACTGGAACAGACCTTAGTATTAAGGAAGGAACATTTGATCTTTGAACAGAGAAAGGAAACTTTGAGGAATGCTTCTAGTGATGTTCTCTTCCTCGCAATAGGAAGGAGTTCATGAAAGACACTATGTTACAGAACGTTAACAAACGGGCAGTTTTATCCCTGTTCTTTGTGCTTTAACCTTCTTCTGAGAGTCTTTAAATGGCTCCTTCTGGGTGTTCTCACACTATGGTTTCATTATTAAAAAGCAGTATTGCTGCTCTTGATTTCTTGTGTGGTTAAAAGCATTTTGTGTACTCCAGTGAGCTTCTCCAGGTGAAAGTCTCGCTGGCTGAGGTTGACCAGGCTGACTTTACAAATTTGTGGTAATTAGGACCTCAGGTCTGTGTGCCTCTTCATCTGAGCAGTATTTCTTGCTGATGGTGGTCATCATGAGTGTCAGAACAAAACACTGAAGAGTAAAATTTAGTGAATAAGGATATTTTGGACTTCACAATTTTTATTTTAAAATCATTAATTAAAATGAAATTATTGCTCACTTTGGTCCCTTGTAGGTGTGCAAAATGTAATGGAGCCACTTTTTTTTTTTTTTTTTTTAACATTTCAAGGAGGAACAGCATCAAAGAGAGCTTTCCCTGCTTCGCAAGCGGTTGGAAGAACTAGAAACCACACAGAGAAAACAGCTGCAAGATCTTGGACCATCTTGAGAGCAAGTAGCAGTGGGTGTATATGGGGACTTGGCTTGAATCAAGATCACTGGAGAAGGCGATGTGCAAAATGAGGACTCCAAATAAAATCTGTGAACTCTACATGCTATTAGTTTTTCAGTAGCTTATCCTTTGTACATGCTTTTCATATTTTGCCAAAAACATGCTTGTATGTGTCTGAATAGTATAAAATATATTCTGCATAGTTTTGTATTTTTGATAGATTTTTGATATCAACTATAATGGTAAAAAACAAAAGCATTGAAAGAATAACTACATTTTGAAATGTTTTTATATAAATGATGTAAAATTATTGGGAAGTCAAAACGTATGAGATAATCTCATCACACGAAACTTTAAAAAATATATATCAAGGTTTGGGTTGTGCTGACATTTAAAATAAAAGCAATTTTTTTTGGTAAGTTCTTTAATACTTGATAATATCCTCTTACTCCTTCAATGTAGAAGTTAGTGTATCAGTGTGAAGTTTTGCTGGATTGCTGTTTTGATTGTTAACAATGCTGTAATCCACACTGTTGGGATTGTTATTTTGAAGTTCCCATGCAGATAGAGAGGATGAAGTGAAATGGAAGAAGGGCTGAAAATGTTTACTTGCGACCCCTGACAATGTGCCTCTTGTATTTTTATAACTGGAGTAAGCAATAATTGGGGTTTTTTTAATATGACGTAGTAGAAGATGAAGTATAACAAACTGCCATCATGTTATGAAAATGTCAGTTTGTATTTGTTGCTACTGTAATTTGTTTACTTAACTAGACTAAAATTATTTATCCAAGGTTGAATGTATTTTAAAAAATTATCAGTTTAGTAACAAACTTTAAAAGGATCATTTTTTTTTTTTACTTTTTAGTGAAGACTTCCCTGGAAGTGTTTTATCTTTTGGGGTATTTTTTTCAAAATACTGCAGTGAAAGTATGAGACAGTGAGATATGCAGACAAATGATAACTAAAGTGCATATGATGATGTTGTCAACGATTCAACTTTTCTCTCCAGAGGCTGCTTTTTTGATTTTCCATACAGTATGTAAGTATAAGGACTGTATTGCACTTTCTTGAGCATTTGCCAGATTTCTCTGAGGAAAACAATGTAACTGTTAAAAGTAACAGAAGCTATATCTACTGTCTCCTGCAGGGTTAATTTGGAAAAAATAAATGTCTGTGCCTGAGCCAGCTCTGCCAAATGTAATGTTCACTAAGGTACATACTGGCTCTTGGCAGCCTCGATTCTGTCCCTGGTATGTGGCCTTCAGCAAGGCTTTCTCTGATGTTGGGGGTAGGAAGGGTCATTCATACAAGCTGGGGCAGCCTCCGAGGGCAGAAAAAGGGCAGTAGCAGGAGGAAGAATGGTTACCTGCTGGTTCTTGGGCTCCCTTTCCCAGTCTGTCTCAGGCTCTTTGCCCAAGAGTTTATTTCAAGTCCCTACAGCACCTTCTCCTGAAAGAACACTTATCAGGTTATCCTTGGTTTTAACATTTTTATTTTTTTTTAAAGTATTATCATACTCTCAGGGCCTTAAAGCAATGAAGTCATAGTGTGGCTCCTGAAGGCTGGCTGGAGGCATAGTGGGCACTGCACCCCCAGCCTGGCTCCGGCCTGCACTGCTTCCCAGGGCCTGGAAGGCTGCAAGGGATCCCCAAACCCAGGGACCCCCCCGTCCACCTGCTCCCTGCCCAGGGCCGGGTGGCCGCTCTGCAGCGCCTGGGTTTCAGGCCAGAACCTCTCCCGCCCCGGCCCCAGCATCCCCCAGTGTGGCAGCGCAACGGAAACGGTCAGTGCTGCTCCCTTCTCAACTGACACCAGCCACTGTCTTACACACCATGCCTTGCGTGGCCTTGGCACTGCTACAAGCTGCACGTGCTTTCTTTGAACCATTTTAAAGTATGCAAATTAGTCAAAGTAACCTCCAAATGCGTTTTATTCTAGATAAACCCATAAAAACACCAACATGTATTTGTCATTTGCACCTTTTTTAACCATTCATTTTAAACAACAGGTTAACTTCTGTACAACAGGAATTACTTTACACATTAGTAAGATTTGACTTTAAACTAGATGACTGCAAAATAATGCTCTGTAAGCTAGTGTTAGAAAATATGCTGTTTGCCGTAGCAGTTTGCCTGTAAACATGTGAAAATAAGTTAAAGAGAAGTTTGCTTTCATTTCAGAGAATGCTGTTAGATTTGTTGGGTTGCCATAATACAGCTTTAGTCAGAGGTGGTTCTTTTTTGTCTGTGTAAGAATTGCAGATGTGGAAGGTGTGCCAATGTTTTGTGTGCTGACCCAAACCTACCAAAAGAGCCACAATCACTTAATTATACTTCACATCACTTCGTGAGATCCACTTGATGGGTTACAAAGTCCCAGCATGACTTTAAATGGTTTACTAACAGAGTGACGCTGTTTAGGAGGCTTGAATAAAAGGCAATAATCCTATTCCAGGCTGTAGGCTAAAGCTACAGTGCCTGCTTCAACACATAATCTCTAGAAATCATTAAAGCTATTGTAGCAAACAAGCAGTAGTACAAATACAGAATAGGACTGATTTTTCGTTTCCTCATCATATAAACACATATATTGAAGTTCACAGGATCAGACCCACGCAAACAGATTATATTTTACAGCTTTTTCAAGCAGAAATAATGTGTTGGTTTTTTTTTTTTTCTGCCTGTACAGAAGGTTACTGTTGAACAAAACTATCACAGTTCATTCAAATGCACTGCCAGCAAACACCTAAAGTGGAACGGAGCTGCTGAGATGTCTGTCTGACCGCAGAGTAATCTGCCCATGTCCCTCCTTTAATATTAATTACTGTGTTTTTTTTGTTGTTTACTTGAAGCTGCTTTAAAATGTTAGGTTAAGAATGGTAAAAAGCAAGCCCTTAAGTACAGGTATTCTAAACTGAAGTGCTACTCAAGCCACAGTCCACTCCTTTAGGACAGAGGGCAAGATAGATTAGGGTTGGGGTGCTTTTTTCCAATTAAAATTAAACTTATGACAATATATTGTGCCAGGCAGCGAACTGCTGAAAGGACTGCAACGTTGTAGTGCAGTTTCCTGAACAAAGCCATACATTCCATCAAGTATAAAGTGTAAACTTAATAGCAAGTGTAAGACGAATTAAACAAAAAAAAAGCCATCACAGTATGGGTTGGTGGCTGCCCTCTCTGATTATGCAAGAGGTACAACTTGTGCAATCACACGGTAGAGAGGGAGCAGACCAGTAGGCAACGTTCTTTTATGTTTGCTTTTTTCCATGTTAACAGGTGGCCTTTGCTTCTGCCAACACATGGTTGGTGTTCACCGGTGCTGGCTGGCTGCGAGCTGTGGGCTTGTGCCTGGTTCCAGCTTCTGGCAGCCTCTGCAACCAAACCGGCCAGCTCTGGGGCTGCTCTACCGCAGCCTCTGGGCTCCTTGAAGCAGCAACAGCACGCAGCAGTAAATGGTTTGAGCACTTGGCTGCCTGGGAGCCCCACATAGGTGTCTCTGGCTTGTCACAGCCCCAGCACAGACTTTTTATACTAAACTTGGGCCATCTGTGCCAGTCACAGCCCGTGGCACCCTTGCCACTGCCAAGGCAGGGGGACGGCTCTTCCCTCTCCTGTGGGCCACTGTGCTATGCCACTCACCTCCGGTGGTGGATCCCTCTGGAGACGTGTGGAAATGTTTCTCCATCCATGCCTCACCTCAATTGTAAGGGCAGGTGGTAGCCTTAGTAAGTGCCTCTGTGTGGTTGGAGCAGAGCCCACAACAACAAACCCTTTCAGTTCTGTAGTGGAGGGTAGGACTGTGCCGGTGTAGTAGCACGGCCAGAGTCATGGCTGCTCCTCCATGGCTTTGCACGGTAGCCACTGCACCAGCCTTGTCTCGGCAGCATAGCCACGCATCTGCTTTCCAGCTGGGCTGTTAGCCACCAGTGCAAATAGAATGGATGCCCTCCTTTCAAAATGGCCAAGCCTCAGCAAACACCCCAGCAGGACTAAGCTGCCCCCTCCCCACCCCCAGCTACCATGTTTCTCGTCAGAGATTATACCAGCCTTCCTGTTCTTACCTATGATGAAACTAGCCCTCTTTTGACAAAGACTTTGTGTGGACAACCTGAAAAAAAAAATATGCTGGCTTTAGGTATGTGAGGCCCTTTTACACGGACGGCAAGACTGGCCAGGAATGTCAGCACTCATGCATGGGCCGATCATGCACCTGAGTACAGGTTTGTGCACCAAAGTGCAGCCATCGTCAGCTGCTTCATCAAATCACAATGGTGTTCCAATGCGGTGCAGCTGCACGGAGGTTTCACATGTGATGCTGCTCACAAGTGTTTCACAGCTTATTTAAGGATGGAAAGGTAGAAATGTAAACACAGACTGATGCCTGTCCAGCGCCATTCTCCAAAAGCCTCCCCCCCGCTCAGTGGTGGGCTTCGCTTTGCACATGGAATTTCTAACCTAAGGAAGGTAAGTCCTGCCATGTGGCATTTGGCCTACAAACCTCAGACCCACTTTTTTCTGCTAAACACACTTGTCCTAAGTGTCACTTTGGTGCTCGGTTGTTTTTTTTTTTTCCAAACAGGAACCAGTGTACATTTGTCTGGAAGGAAGGAAACTGCAGCTGACCCGTATTCTGAGGCCGGAGCTCATACTCACAGTTTGCCAAGGCTGCTGAAAAGATGTGGCAAAACCTTTCTCTCTTTAAAAAAAAGAGCTAAGCAACTTACAAGTTCACATCGGCAACTCTGAACTTGCAATGTGTTTTGTGCATCTCCTGCAAGCTTGTTTTTATGTAAGCAAAAAGCTTACTTAGGCAGTATTATTATAATCAAAAGGTACATGTGTTCAGGTACCTAAAAATGCTGGCCCTGCCAACACTAGACTCACTTTCACATGCCCACGTTTGAATATCTACCCCTGCCCATACTTCATTCCCAAATGTAGATATTACTTGGAATGGTCAGAGTGGAGACGAGTGTCCAAATATTTCAAACCCTGTACATATAGTCAGTCAAAACAGTTTTGGGAGCAGCAGCGCTTATTTAAAATCCCCCACAGCAATGCTGTGAGTCAGTGCTCTGCTCAAAGCCATTTGCATTTTTTCTTTTCATCAAATAGGGTTTTTACTTGATGGAGCTGTTTCTGGACGTCTTCAAACCCCCGTTCTCGCTCGAGTTTGCTCACAATCTGTTAACAATTAGCAAAAAAGAGAATCATTTTTTAGTGCTTATTTTACTTGCTGTTTTTTAAAGTCTGCTTTTCTGCATTCCAACAACTACTGGCAAAAAAATCCATCTGAATGCCTGCCTATATGTAAACATTCTTTTCTGACTTTAACACTTTATTTTGGTAGTTTTCCTTTCAAGTCATTATGATTACAGGATTTGCAACGCTTCCACAAAAGAATGACAGAGCCAAGCAAAAAAAACCAAAACAAATCCAACACATGTTCATCTCTTGAAGTGTGAGGCAAAGCCAGTTTTACCCTAGAGCAGATCTGCACATGAAATTTTATTTCTCTTCCTCTGCCCTATAAACTGAGGGCAGTAAACTGCCTCTCTTCCTCGCACTGGCCCAGGTGATAGGAAGGAGCACTGCTGCTGTCTGAAAACTCTTTGCTGGCAGCTCTACAAAGCAACTGAGGTCTCAATAAACAATGAATGAGATTTAGCTGCTCCCAGTCAAAAGCCAGAGGGGGAAGAGCAGAGGGAGTGTTTCCTTCTAAGGATGGGGTATATTTAGCCAGTACTAGCTTCAAAAAAAAAGCAAAAATGTGCACTAAGATTAGAAAGTATTCTGAAGTCTCCTCTGTAAATAATTGTAATGAGCTTAACAAAGCGTAGTGACATTCTGGGTATCATCCCAAGCTTCTTTTAAGAGGTGAAGATTTGGTGCCGAACCCAGATAATTTGAGATGTTAGAGATCAGAAGTGATAAGCTGGCTAACAGGTGACTGAGAGCTGGATGATTACAGCAAGTGCTGATGCTGCGCTGCTGGGGATGAAAGAGAAAAAGGTCTGGTTGCTGGGAGACCCAGACAACCTGCTGGAAGTGGTAAGGAGGCCTTCAGGCAACACACCCCAGCTGGCTCTTATCTTCCTCCCTGCACAGGCACACACAGCCTCTGTTAAGGATGCAGAGCAAGACGGAGTGGAGAATCCTATCATGCAAAGCAGAGGGCAGGGATTTTCTTACAAAGCAGCTTAGCCTCTGACTAAGTGCTTTCATCTGAGAAAAGATTTCTTTTGTTAGCAATAGCAGGGAATGGAAGCTATAGCATCTTTAACAGAAAGACTTTTAGAACAGAGTGTAAGAGGGCTACGATGGGAAAGCAGCATACACCTCTTGCTTTAAGGCTGAGTGTGCTCCACTGGGGTGTTTGTACTGTTATGTGGAGATCCCTGGTGCTAACAGTCTAATCTGATTTCTGAATCTCCAGGGAAATGGGAATGCATGCACAGGAGCTGTGACAGGCACTAGCAGATAGTCTGCAAACACAGTAGAACAAGAAGTCTAGACTATATAGGAACTTTCTCAAAACTGCAGGGAGAATTTTATTGCTACTGTCTCTGTGAAATACAGTGGTGACAGTAAAGCTGCTGCTCAAATGAACCTTTGGCCTGTGACCCCTCCAAGGGGGAAGGGGGCTCCAGCCACCCTGGGGGCTGCACCCCTCTGGCCCCACACAGCCGAGCAGGAGCGGCCCCAGCTGCCCCACTGAGGGGCTGTCTCTGGAGGGGCACCTGGCAAGTCACAGGCCAGGCCAGTCCTTGGTTACTTTGTCAGGCCCAATTTTCAAGCCTGAGGTAGTGAAGTGAACACTAAGGGATTAAGCAGGAATAGCAGATGTGCTTACCTCATCATAATATTTCACTATGTATCTGTAGATTTCAATCAAGGCCACTTTCTCATTAAATTCATTTTCATGTTTCTAAAAGAGAAAACAGTTCTGGTCAGATAGTTCTCCTTTTTTAAAACTTAACATGAAAGCAAACGAAGTAGCTGCTTCTCAACCATACCTTAGATTCCTGAGTTAGAAATTCTTCAACCTCTGAAGTGGTCAATGGAGGCAGATCCCTGATGGCTTTATAGTATGCTTTCACCTCCTTCTTGTAGAGTGGAATGTCCTTAGCATAGAGAAGTTTATTTGTTGGTGCTTCCTTAAAAGAAAATATTTGAAGCCTTGTCAATTTTCACAGCACAGATTTCCTAAAGTTCCACCTCCAGATAGTTAATTGCATCTAATTGTGTCTGTTCTCTGTGTGACTCACTTCTCTTTGCAGTGGTTACATGCAAGGAATCAAGGTTATGAAATCAAGATGAAGAACGGGCACAGGACCTCAGTAATAGTGCACTGTGTTTCAAGACAGTTGCCACATAATTATTTATACTGGCATCAGAGGGATGAATATTTGTCCCTTAGACATATTTTTCTTTCTTGCTTCCTCCTCACCCCTCCCCAGACCTGAAAGATAGTGAAAGTTGAACCAAAGGGCTTAAGGCTGATACCCTATTTACATACAGGATACTGCAGTGCTGTGGAAAGTTCCCCTGGGGTAACATGCCAGAGAGCCTTTGCTAGGTCCTGTCCTGGCAGAGGTTCCCCTAAAACTCTCCTTCTGCTCAGGGGTTCCAGGGCATTGAGAGCTGAATGCCAGGCATGCACAGCCAAAGAGATTTATTTTTTTTCCCTGGGGCTTCCACAACCCAGGCCAGCACTGACCTACCAGGCAGCTTCCGAGGAAATAAATGCTGATGTTTGTGGTAGGAGCCAAAGCCCCACCTGGAAACCATGTTTTCAGGATGTAAAGGTGGGGCCTGGTAGTTTCCTGTCACTGCTCTAGTTTAAAATCTGGGGAATAAATGACACAACCATGTGATACCTTGTCACTGTTGTTTCCACTGTGTGATGAAATTATTTCAATGCTTGTTTTCTAAGTGGCTAAAAATGTTTTAAGATAAGAGGCTAAAAATCATGAAAGTAAATACATTTTAGTAATAAAATGCCACAAGAGCTTTACTGCATTACAAACCTTTACCAGGTTTCAGCACCCCTTTTCAAATGGCTAATGGGATCTGTTTTATCAACAGTACTTCACAACAGACGTCAAGCAGAGAAACATAACAGACCATATCACTTGCAGTTTTTCCATCAAGTAAGCAATATAATCAGATTTAATTAATGACACTTCACTTCTAAAATAAGATAAATAAGCACATTATTTTTTATCTTTAAATAGGTTATCAGTTGTTCACATCACATAGGAAGTTAGTCCATTTTTATACAAAGTTTTTAGGCTACAAAATCTCTAGTCTGTTTTTCTAGGTAGTATGAGCCTGAATAAATGCTTCCTACTTTGGTCCAAAAAAAAGGGAAAATATCCTCAGGAAAAATGATGTATTTCTGATCCCCAGAGTTCTGGACACTGTACTAAAGAGCTTTTGAATGTAAGATTTCTGGAATTGTTACACCAGCAAATAATTCTACATATAAAAGGGAGCAGCTAATACACATGAAAGGAACTGTTTGAAACTTCAGAGCAATTTCAAATATTCTTACAGCTCCCAGTAGCTAACTGTGTGTGTGTTTTCTGCACAATGGTGTGTGGCAGACAAAATTTGGACTACTTATGAAATAATGTTAATACTTTTAAGACCTCTGTTTAAAAAAATCTTTAAAACTTCATTAAAACCTTACAATTTCCACCCTCTTCCACATATTCTATGAACACACTGGGCAGAAACTAACTGCAGAGAAGACAAGCTGCAGGTAATTATAAATATGGCATTCTAGTAGCTCTATCTGTCTACTCTAGTGAATTCTTCAAAGTCTTGTGAGACAGAGCAACAAGGAATGGAAACCCAGCTTAATTAGCCCACTGACAGTTTTGCTGCTGATGTCAGCAGATCCAGGACTTCATCCCCTAAACCATTACACAGTTGAAAAAGACTGAGAAGTTAGCAAAAGACTGGAAGGGCACCATTACCTTCCCCAGTGTCTGTTCTGCTAGAGAAAAGGCATCCATGAAAGCTTGTGCAATTACAGACAAACAGCCATCTATATGTGAAGTCTTCTTAATATCAAAGACAAATTGGGGATTCTTCAGGATGTTCACCCAGAAGCGAAGAGGAAGACTAGACAGAGAAAGAACAAGCATCTTTAAAATTAACCACTCAGGTAGCACAACTGCTTTAAAATGGTGGTTTAATTGCACTGCACTCGTGGAAAGAAGCACATTTCTGGACTGCTTATTCATGTTAAAAAAGGGATTAAGGAACACAGGCTACAGAGCAAACACATCAGTCAGTCACCCTGACACTTTCAAACAATGCTCTCAACCTGCAGATACTTTTTCTGAGTGTGAAATCAGTATGCAAACTTAGAAGTCCTGGAAGCTATGGTGGTTTGTACTGGTATCCAATCAGTATACTAAAATTACTGGGATCCACAAAGCCAACCACATCTTAACCCAGACATGCCAAAATCTTATTCTTCTCACCACAGGTGACATGTTCCATCTTTGCAACTACATTTTCAGAGACTGCACACACTCCTGTGCATATCATATGGGCATACCTGTTGGTTTTCCATATATGGACCACATCAGGGTCAGTAATTTTTTTGCTCTCAGCCTGGGCATCCAGAAAGTCAAAAAAGTACTTGATAGCAACAGGTGCTTTATTGTTGGGTAAACTCCAAATGCTCCTGAAGAGCTTTTCAACAACTGAATGAATTGCAACCTGAAAAGTAAGAAAATGAACATTGCTATTATTACACAAGAAAATAATAGGATTTCTTGTCTCAGAGAGCTGAACGTGCCCCAGCGCAACCACACAAAGAAACTACAATATGCTTTTGGCACAGGTTATTGGCAAACAAGACAGTCAATAACAAAAACGAAACTACAAATACACCATAAGGAACTGCTGTCAAGTGTCACATGTCCTATCACTTTACTGACAGCAATTTGTGGTGAACTCTGTGATAAATTGTAGGTGGAAGGCATCATTCCTTCCAACAAAGACAACATCAGCTCTCTGGATACTATTGACACCGTTGCTAAAGGTGTTTGGAACTTGTGACTGGAAGTAAGAGAAAGGTGAGCAAAAAGAGTTTAACCAGTTTTCTAGGGCAATGGTCTTCACGGTGCCATCTGTGGCACATGTTGAACACATGTGCTCATCAACACTTCACAGACAAGTGACTGTGGCGCTTGATCTAATTCTAGGATAACAGCTCTGGGTGGCATATGAAGACACTAATATTAGAGAGAAGAACTGAAAACTGGGTTTTTCTGATCCAGAAGTGAAGCCATTTGGCTCACAAAAGCAAGGACTTAGTTGCTGATGTCATCATCAGCATCACTGTCATCATCACAGAGTATTTATAAGTAGAAGCAAACAAAGCAAAATGCTGTTTTGTGCATTTTTTTCTTCACATCTGTTCTGAAGCTTGGTTAAGCCCAATCTTCTCTCAAGAAGAAGAATTTAAGTGTATCCCAGGGCCTTGATATGCCACTGGTCAGTTCATTTCATATGCCAAACTCTGCAGTTGTGTCTGTGTCTGTGTCTGTGTCTGTGTCTGTGTGAGAGAGAGGGAGAGAGACATGGTTCATTGCAATTTCCTTTAGTGCACGGCCTATCATGGGTGGAATTTCACAGTGAAGGATATCACGGCACTGTTGTTCACAGCACTATCCTACTTTGGAGAAGGACATGTTTTAAAATTTAAATTTAAAGCCCTTTAAAAGGACTGTTTCTTAAGAGTCTGATCTCTTTTTTTTGTACTTCAGTTTTTCACCATAATATACTACTGGTTTACTCCAGCAGTTCCTGAGGACTTAGTTTAGTTTCCACAGCTAATGAGAAATGACCATTCTCACTTTGGGTAGTGTCCCAAATTACTTCAGAAGCTATCAACAATCTAATTAAATAATGATTGATAGATTTTCAAATGCAAGAAGGCCATAACCATCATCCCTTCAGGCCTCTTGTATCGCACAGCTCTCAAGTGTTGTGCACTGATTAATATTTTAAATAATATGCTGTGGCAAAGAATTTTATAACCCTTTTGAGTAGGTCAGAAACAAGATGACATTACCAGAGGGAGGGAGTAGGCTTATTCCTAAGGAATGTGCATTGTATAAATTAGGTAATTGTATTATAAATCCTAAGGTCTTTGTTTTTTAAATTAATCTTGTCATTTTGGATGCTTAATTTGAGACTCTAAAAGGTTCTTTCATTTCATGGGCAGTATTCTGTGAAACTCAGGCCTTGGAAGTTGTCTCTAGGATGGGCAAACTCTAGTAGAGAGTGAGATTGTTGACTGAAAGCTATCTCTCTAGAAGGAATCATTCTCACTCTATGGGACTCAGTGGTGAAACTTGCTTTCTATAAGCTCAATAACTACCTTTTTTCTCTAACCTGAGAAAAAAGGTTGTGCTTACTGAGGAGATAGAGAGTGTGAGTAACAGATAATTTTAGAACTCTAGTGTTAGAAAACCTGAAACGTGTCCGTCTTTGCGAATGGTCAAAATCCACAGCTAGCACAGTGATTTTTACAGGCTACCTTTTTATTTAACATTTGATATACAAGCAAGAAGTCTGCATAATTTCTGCTTTAGTTTCTATTTCTGTTGTGCCAAACTAGCCAAGCCTAACATAAGCCCTCCCTCAAAATAAGGCCTTTACAGTTTACCTTGGTTGACAGAAGCTTTGTCAGATACATTTCTTTCACTTTGAATTTTTGCTTTCCTTTGTGACCTGCTCCTTTCACATCTTTGTTTGCTTCAGAGTCTGGTAAAATCTGTTGAGAAGAGATTAGAGAGATTATACAGATACAAATACAGCTCAGAATTAAATCTACCACTTAACAGGATAATGACAGAACTCACCAAATGACAGTGTTCATCTGAGTAGTCCACATCTAAACAACAGAAGGCAGAGAGCAAACGGGCATTAATCAAACACACAGCTACAAGTTTGTGACTTCTGCTGGGGCTCTGGGCTGTGCAGCAGGGTGCATGCCAGGATGCTGAGCAAGCAGACTTGGTGTTGTGCTTTCCTGCATGCAGTGTGGGGGAAGCCTCTGAGAAATGCACGGGTCCTGGCTCACCTCCCCAGTGCCAACCTGTATTTTGGACCACTAAGCTAGGGCATCATCTTCTGCTGCTGGGGTAAAGTGACAGCAAATCGCAGCTTCTCCGAAAGGAGGACAACAGACAGCGGATGAGATGACTGCATTGGTTTAGTCTCTGAGTACTCAGTGCAGGCGGGTTGAGGTCAGGCTTGAAAGCAACAGCTGAGAACAGACAACCCTGCTCTTGCTGAGGGAGAGCAATGCCATTCCAGTGACTTTCACCTCAGTGACACATCTCTCCTAACTTCACACGTCCACTTTGACAGTGAGGTGAATCGCATGCTAGGAGTGTGTTTCTCCCCAGGGACTACAGAAAGTCCACCTCCCCCAAGCCACCAGCTGGGTTGGAGCAACCTGAATCACAGGGGTAGGTCAGATGAACTGACCCTTGTAAGCACCCTTTAACTCCTGACCTGCTGTTGAGACAGCTCAATCACAGCTTTAGAAACATAGTCAAGAGAATAAAGAAAATTCAAACACTGTGGGGTTTTTTGTTAAGCCTGTCTCTGGACAGTGCACCACTATGTCCATGATGCAAAACGCTGAGCACTGGAGCAGGGCATGTTCCCTGTGTTGGCCTCACTGGTCAGAACTTTGTGTCACACAGGCTTCCCTGCCCTGATTTCCTGCCTATGAGTCTGTATCTTTAAGCATTCATTTTCTGAGGAGTATAAGTCCTGCTGTTCTCCTTTCCTTTGCCTTCTTTCCTCCTCCTAGGGTCCACTGTGCCTGCCAAAGGCCCAGGGCCAGGGTAACATGGTTCTTCACTTGGCTCAGCTATATCAAAGTGCCAATTTTTCTGACCTTCTATTGACCAAGATACAACCTGTCATAGCTCAGCTCTCTGCATTCCCAGCCCAGATTACCTGATCGGGTATTTGCCTTCTTTTTAAAGACTTTTATGGTTGCTCCATTTGAAATCTGAAAGCAAAAAAAAAAAAAACGTATCATGCTCAAACGAAAGCTTCTAGAATTCAGGAAACCCTCAGTTTCATTTCCTCTGTCCTCAAGTCTGTGGCAGCACAGGAGCACGCCAGCCTGCTCTGTTCTCACCACGGTGTGCACAGCTCTCAGCAGGCAGCCAGAGCTGGGCCTTCTGGCACTGGCCGCAGCTGCAGTTTGATAGCCTTACCTGACAAGGTGGGAAGGCAGCTCTTCCGACAAACCAGCCTTTGAGACCTTTGCCTTTCTTTGATTTTTCTGGTTCAGCCCCTATTTGTACATCCTCATTTTCATGTACTGTTTTGTGCACCCATCTTTCTACAGATGGCCCAGGCTGAATTCTCTGGCTCCAGTGCAACAGGATGTTACGGGAAGGTGAGGCAGAGAGAACCCAAGGAGGATTTTTCTTCTGGCCCCCTTTTTTCCAGCTCAGTCCAGTCCCACCATGCCCTACAGACAGGCCATGATGAGGGTCTAGCTTGGTGCTCCCAAGAACTATTTTCAAACTGAGCAAAATAATTATGCCCTGTGGACTGTAAGGTCAAGATCCATATCTAGCTACCTTGGGATTTCTAGGAAAAATCCACCCCGCTCCTTCCCTGAATTTATAGTGCTGCCAGGATGATAACTATTGTCTTTCTTTAGAAGAAACTGGCAAGTCATGCTTTTAGTGTCAAAGAGTAACTCAAAAACGGCTCCCACTGAGAACAACGCCACTGCTCTGCTGTCAAGTGTTGTGTCTTGCCAAGTGCTAGTGTACTTCTCTCTATAATTACAAAAACAACTGGCCAGTTCTAGGAAGGGATCTCTGCCAAAATAATTTAAGTGTTTTTTAAACCTTGGCAGCCAGCCTGCTGTGCGAAACTAGTTTAAACATCAAGATACTCTATCAAAAGCTGTGTCTTATGCCAAAGAAATCTGCACTTATACTTGCTTCTGTAAAGTAAATGCAATCTATTTTATAAGTATGATTTTTTTGCAGGGTCTCTATTTATCATACAGTGTTTCAGAGCTCTTTCAGATAACAAAGAGCACTTTAAAACCACACTACAAGTGGGAATATGCTCTAAGGCTAGCTTGTGAGGTGACACAAACACCCAGAGTCCTCCTACCTGACCCTGAAGACAGGTAAAGAGCAACAGTGCTACCCAGCAGCTCACCTCCTCCCAGAGCGTTGTGTGTAATATGCTGCCTCCACTCCCTCTCCAAGAAGCAGGAGAGCAGCTCAATGTTGGAAAGTGTTGGCTCCTGTCCTGAAGGAGACGGACGGAGCTCAAAGGGAGAACCATGCTTCCCTCCAGGAACCAGAGGCATTGGTGCAGTGCAGCCATTGTCCAGGCCTCCACTTCAGGTTTTATTTCTGGGACAAATTATGCTTTTAGCATTAAGTGGAATATGATTTCCTTTCTTTATCATTACTGCAGCAGTGACACTTGTTGTTTCTTCCAGTATGATTCAATTAAAAAAAAAAAAAAAGTTCTTCCTTTTGTGTTCTGCTGCCTAAATCATTTTTCATGGTGGGCTGCTCCTATGGACCTCAAAACATCTTTGCTTTGTCAGGTGCATTACTGAGGTGGACAAACAGGGAGGGGGGAGATCTGATGAGATCCACACAACATGGAGTACAGATACTTTTCAAAACAGAAGATGCAGTAGTGTGGCTGTATGATGACCCCTTGTTCTCCAGGCCTCCTGTCCTCCCTGTAATCCAGTTCTTGCCAGTGAGCTGCCTGGATCACACATTCAGATTCACTCTCTGGGGCTGTGCCTGCTCCCGGAATGTGTCATGCCGCTACAGGTTGAGAAACAGGGGATCTGTGACTGGACAGCAGATCTGAGAGTGGTTCTCTAGCTCTCTTCTTGCATGGGAAATAGCACATCATGTTAATCAGCAACTTTCTTTTCAAGGCTTGTGGTTATTCTCATGCAAACAATAGTGCAGACATAAATAATCACATCAATAACCCTACTAGGAGAAAAAAATTAGAGGAAAAGGAGCACAGACACCTGAGACACACGAAAGCCTAATAAGAGTACAGTGGATTATTTGAAACACCACACAGAAATGCAAACATCCCCTACTCGTGCATTTTAAAAATCAGTGTAAAAACTAAGTCTGCTTTTTCAAGAGTGACTGGTGATTCTGGGACCTTTACAACACAACCATCATGCTCCAGTATCTCAAACAGATTTGATGATACTTCCCATTTTCAAAAATCTGGTTACTTTCTAACATTTAAGGCTGGCAAACAAAAAAATTCAAGCTTGCCACAAAACTCTAGGCACAAGCGGGAATTCCTCATGCAACATTACTACCCTCACACTGTGCACACAATGTTCCTTTTATCTTGCTAACTAGACACATTTGTATTAATATGGATACAAGAAAATAAACTAGATATGCTAATGGCTCATGGTTGCCACTAAGCTTCTGCCTAAAATGTACATTATTTTGTCAGTGTCAGAAAAAGTGAACTAAAATATCTGAGACACCCAGCACAATTTCCATAAGGCAGCTGCTAAGCTATAATTAGTGTAGTTACAGCTTTGCAAAAACAACTGAACCTCCAACCTTGCATTTGCATGCAGAAACTTCAGACCAAAACAAGGGCTGGGACAAAGATACCCAGGAATGATAGCGAACAACTGGAGCAGACTAACCTGCACGAGGTATGGCACCCATGAACCATGGCATGCCATGAGCTTGGGAAGTGCAAAAAGCTTCCAGGTAAAATCAGGGAGCATGTGCAATAGCTCCCCACAGTAAAGAAAGCAGGTACTATCACATTAGACATATTTAATCAGATTCAAATGTACTTTGAAGTTGACTTTGCTGCACAGTCTCTGACTGCAACACTACAATGTCCTAATTTCTACAAAATCTTTACAAGTGGGGTGGAGGAAGTACCACATTAATCTACAGACAGGATTCAAGAGAGGCACAGGAAAAGCTGTATTTAAGACACTGGATGGTGACATCTGTGTTCATTGCTGCCTCCCCAGGAGGTAAGGAGAGCAACAACTGCCTACAGAAATCTGTAAAGTGACTCCAAACGAGCTTGCTCCAGATCTGGGCAGCCTTGTGCTCTGCCCAAGCTACAAAGAGTCCTGCTGGGAGTCCTCGTTTCTCTCGGTGGATGACACTGTATTTGCTCATGCAGACAGCAATGTGTTCAGGGTTGACTCAGGTTTCTCAGCACCACACTGCACTGCATGGCACAGACCTACACTCATCAGCAAAACTTCTAAATAAAAATTATCATGTCAAGAGCCAGACTTTCAAATTCAATGACAAGGCATGAAGAAAGCCCGCTCAAAGCACTCAGCATACTAACCTCATTTCCAAAGTCTATCTGTAAGCATCAAAATGTGAGCTACTATGTCACCCGAAGCCCATCATCTGTTGCACATTTTACCCCAGCCTCTCACCCTCTATTTTGACTAGTGTCAGCGGAAACTCCTTAGACAGGCAATGCTGCTTGCTATGCTTTTGCAGTGTGCTACACCCAGAAGGGTTCTGTCACCAGTTGCAGCCTTGTGTATGTTTTGTTTAGATGAGATGTTGGGGGATATGGTGTAGCGGAGAACTTTGCAGAGTAGGGCTGATGGTGGGACTTGATGATCCCAAGGGTCTTTTCCAACCTGAATGATTCTGTGATTCTGTGATTCTGTGAATGACGGAAATATTATTGCAGCATTGAAAACAACTGGTTTATAGGTGCAATTGGAAGCAGAGGGGAAAACTTACGGTACAAGTAGCAACAGTAGATGAAGCAAAAACAGAGAGAAAAAGGGAAGGAGACTGACACAGGAGGTCTCAAAAGAAGAGTGAGCAAACTCGTCAGTCCTTTTTATTCGGACCCTCAATGAGCTTTCACAAGTATCACTACCACTTGTTCAGATAATCAAAATATGAAGTGGGAAGAGGTAAACAATTGCTCATGGTGCAACAAAATTCCGCAGCAGAGACTAGAAGAGGCTCAAGACAATATTCATAGCTGGAAATCAGATGCTGTTTTAACTGAAATGCTCAACAGAGTAACAGTTTACCTGGTATGCTTGAACCAAGCAACCCTGCAACAAGCAAACCTCTGAAAAGTAACAGAAAACATATGACTCACTGGCAAAAAAGGTGTGTCATATGTTTCCTTCCTTCTGTTGATGATGCTCAGCTATCTCTTAATCAATCAAGATACTTCTGTGCAGGCAGCATTTGGGAGTCGGGTAAGAACTGCTTCTCTATTCATTGGTATGGCTTCCGTGCTTACCTCGTAATGACTGATGGTATTTAGTTTCCTTATCCCATCCTCCATCACCTCTGAGGAACCATCAATATCTAGCAACTCTCTTTGCTGCTCCTCAGACACAAGTTCTGCAGTATGACAGCAACAGAAAACAATTACATCCCAATGACATTTTCACCGTACAGATGTTTGTAAAGAAAAACAACACCTAATTATTTTTGGACTAGTGGCTCCCAAGTGAGATGTTTGTCTCTGTCCTTGTGCTGGGTCACATGAGAGTGGTTTTGCACTCCCACACTACAGATTCCTTTTCTGGGGTGATAGCTGGGTGGTTTCCATTACTGCAGGCTATCAGTGCTTCACTTTGTGTTGGTCACGGCAGAGTTTTTGGAGGTACTTTCACCTAATCTAGCTATTCTGTTGCACAAGAGTACCCTGGTATTATGGTGTCCTGGGTTGCACTGTATTCTATTACCATCCTCATGAGCTGTGGAAATCAGGTGGGGCAGTGTTTCCTTGTTCCCCTTTCCCCCCCCCCCGCCCTACTCCAGACTATCTTTCTGTTAATGCCATGCAGCATGACTCATTATCCCATTGTGAGATGCTCCACCCAGAGGGAAAAACCCAGCATTCCATCCTGGATATAACCTGAGATTCTGAATACCAGAGGGCTCTCTTTTCCACTGGATTTCCAAAGGACAGGAGCTGTTTAGCCACCACTGGACTTTTCTGAGGAAGAGCAGATCTTCTTTTTTTCCTCTACAGGATCACTGCTTCGGGGGGACTGCAGCCACCATTCTACCAGACTGCTACAACCACCCTGATTAACAGGGTGTCAGGTTGTATCCTGACTCTGTTAGTTTAACCCACTGTTATCTGCCTTTATAAATATTTTTTTAATTATTATTAAATTGTTATTCTGACTTGGTGTCTCCCACTAGTTTGTTTTCAAACTAGCACATATGGCCATGCTGGAACTCAAAGAAAGGTTTCACAAGCCACTTCTAAGAGATCACTAAAATGAACTGTACAAGACTGACACAGTATTTGTGAAGGGTGGTCAGGCATTGGTGGTGGATATAAACATCAGATATGAAAGTAAATTATCATCACTTGCTGACACAGTGTCTGAGAAGGTGAGGAAATATCAACATTTTAGAGAGCAAGTCTGGGAGGTGACAAATGCCAACAATGTACAGTTTGTTAGCTTTCCTACTGGAGCATGTGGGAAGTGATATGGTGGTAACTGTAGGCTTTTATCTGACCCTGGGTTCTTGAAAACCTGACAAGAAAAGGTGACCCAACTCATCAGCTGGAACAGTGTTATTTACATCTCTAGATATTGTACATAGCTTTGTGAGTCACAGGTGAACTATTGTATAAACCTAATCTGACAGTAAATAAACTATATTTGTGGGTTCTCCTGATCAAGGGAAATGTAGGCCTGTCGGAAGTAAGGGTGGTAAGAAGGACAGTAGATAAGGACTACAGTACTTGATAATCATGACATTTCAACCTACCTGCTGTAGTTAGGTGGATGTGCCACCTTAGTTAAGCCAGAAAAGGAACATATAAATTATACGCGTTCAGTAAATAATGTGATTGTTAACTGCATGCTGAAGTCCTTGTAGAAGCGAAGCAGATGTGGTTCCAGTATTCTAACTGGTAGCATAAATGACCAAGTATTACCCTAGAAATTCCTTACAAAAGCTATGTTTTGCCTAAATGCTAAAAAAATCAAAGCAAAAGGTAGAAATTCCTAACACAAAAACTCCACAGACAGACCAGTGAACTCTATGAAAATATAACACAGTGACACTCTCTTACCAAGACCAATTTCATCCAGCTGAAGACCATAGAGAAAGCCATTTTTATTAAGGAAAGCCTGAAGGCTCTTCTCCTTGGCTTGGCCTATGGTGTCACAGTCCAGAACATTAACTTGGATAGTTTGACAGGCATCTTCACTCTCATTTTCCGGGATTTTTTCAAAGATAATGTTCACTGTCTGTAGAAAGAAACATGTTATTCTGATTCATAGGGAACACCTGGCATGGGAAACCTACAAACAACTGACAGCAAACCTGAGATATTTTCAGCACATTTATTATTAAAACTATTTCAAACAAAGATTATTTGAAGGAATTACACAATGAAGCATTTATAATTCCTCGTGTCTGAAGAATCAAAGATACATCGCTATATATTTCCAAAAGTGTATTTTGTATTCTGCTTTTATGCAAATCTATTTCAGTGAATTACCCAAAAAAGACAGGAGACCAGGAAAAATTGCAATGCATGTTCTAAAAAAAGCAGATCTTTTATTTAAAATGAATGCCTTAGAAGCAAAACTGCAAGTGACTAGAGATCTTGATAAGGTTGCTAAGTAAGTCGTCATGGTAAGCATAATTGATTTTGAGTGGATAGGAAGCAATGTTAAGATGCGTATTTACAGCAGCACATTATGCTGAGTGCCTTATATCATACAAAAAATACACCTCCCCTGGAGACATCAGTCAGTGTTTGTCTGCATACAGCCCTGTCTCTAGAGGCAGCAGAGACAAGGTACTGCAGAAGCAGTGGAAAGGGAAAGCATGTTGCAGCATGCTCCAGATCTGCACAGAGAAGTGTGGTTTACTCTGTTAGTTACTACTACAGGTCAAATACCCACACAACCTGTGCAGTTACAACACCCCTGCCCTTTAGCTCACAGCTGCTCTCAGCTGGGACACAACTTCAGCTGCTAGGCTGCATGGTGAGTATGGGCTAGACTATGGAGGTGCAAATGAGACTGGGTGACTGTCTCCAGGGAATGTGTTTAGTCAGGTCACACTTCTGGTCAGGTTAGGCAGAATAACTGCCAAAAGGCAGGGAAAAAGGGATAAGCACAGAACTGCTAGTGTCAAGTGATAATAGGAATAATTTCCATTGCTGCAGCCTGCTCTTTGCAGAGAAATCACTGTTCAGCTACATGGATACAGATGTTCTGCTGGAGATGTCTTGGGACAGAATTAAAACAAGTGTTTTAGGTGCTGGCACTTGACTGCAAGTGGAATAAGAAAATCTATGTACTTGAACCATTCTGGCTGTTGGACACTTCCAGTATAATATGTATCTTTTGACTGAAATGAGAGGGCTGCAGGTGTGACTCAGAGAAGGAGTGATTATTAAAAGAGGAAGCAACTAAAAAATTTTTTTCTCCCTGCTGTCATGTGAAGGAAAGAACTTCTGTCCAGGTTGCTGGAGGGACAACTTTTTTCTCTTCTTAGAAAAATGGGTAGTTATTACTAGCTGCAGAATGCTATTTGCTGCTCTATTACCCAGCAAGAGTGGAACTTACAACACACTCGTGGTGAAAAAAAAAGTAGTCCAATGAGATGTAAATTAACTTTTCTGTTTCTACAGAAGCAAAAGGAGTATTGAAAGCCGGGCTGCAAAACTATGAAGATCAGGATTTAAGAAAGACTAGGATGTAACTGAAGTAACCAAGAATAACTTAATCATGACACCAAGATGTTTAATTGTGAGGAAAATGAGTCCATGGAAAGGACAGACAGAATGGAAAAGGAGGAAATGTGGCAATGATGCCTGCAGAAGGAGAAGCAGACTGGACGCCATGCCTCAGGTTGGGATTTCATGCGGAAAATTAGTAAAAAATATATTGGCACAGAAATGAGAGAGTCATGCTTGGTTAGGCTCACAGACCAACTGAACAGACAGCAGTCCCGTCCTTGACTTTGCCCTGAGGTCATGGTCTTGTAGGATAAAAACATGGACAGGGACTAGCTGTATTTTGTCTTTGGAAGACTAATTTTAATCAGTCTTTGTCTCTTCTAGTCTCCAAACTGATCTTTCTGGAGTAGCTACTCACACTTTAACTGATGTTGATTTGTCTTTACATCCTTGGAATCATTTCTTCCTTTAGTTGAACCTTTCCTCCTAGCATTATTCGTACACTGCAATATTCATGTTCCTGCTTCTCCTTCACTTCCTTTCAGACTGTCAAGAGAAACTTTTTCTCTGCTGAATTTTTTCAGCAAATGCTCTCACACAGATTGCACATAAAAGTGCAGCCTCTTCCATTTTAGTATGTAATGTAAAAAGGACTGTAAAAAGAGAGTAGACGTCCTTTATGTAGGTGGAATACAAGTCATTTATAGACTCCTTAATTGAAAATATCCACAATATGAGGATAATAATGACACTTTATGACTTAAAGAAGTGGTCAGATGGAAAGAAATACTAAACACATATGACTTTCTAAACCAAGAGAGCCAGACAGTTTTGTTGATGATTTCCTACAGAAGTTAATCTTAAGTGATGAAGAAACTGATGGGGAGCTAGGAAAGCCAACTATTATTAAGTCTTCCCTCTGTAGCTGAAGTTTTCATAAATCAGATTCAACCTGTCTGACAGCACAATCCCTGGCTTTAGAAATCATTAATCAGAAGCTGACAGTCACAATCACTGCATTTAGACACACAGTGTAGAACTGGAAAAATAATCAGAAATGACTGCAAAATTATGAAAGCCCTTTTATGATCAGCTCTGAAGGTCAGAAAACATTTAAGAGAAATCACAGGTGGACACATGGGAGTCACAAAGAAACATCACTAGGCCCTTTTCTAAGCTCTCTTCCTTTGCAAAGGAAACAAAAATAGAAGTTAACTTAGGAAAAGACTCAGGATGAAATTACAGGACATGTGGTTCAACATAGGAATATCCAGACTTGAGACTTCATGCACTAGAAGTTAGTGATCAGCAACACAAAGTTACAGCGCTCTTCAGCAAAGGCCTAACACAGGTTGCAAGAATCGTTGAAGGCTACATCTACAACTACTTGTATAGGAACTAGCTTGGAACCTAGCTAAAAGACAGAAACAAATTTTAAAAACATTTTTTTACTCATGCAGTGACAGAAATAACAGCATTTGAAGACAACATTTACAGATGCTTCTTCAGATTTGTAGTTTTCCTGGAAATTAATTTAAAACAAGGAATTATTTAGTAAAGCTATTAATAACCATAGCAGATAATAAATGAGATGTGGTTAATAAAGAAATATGATAATACCATATTTTCTTAGAAATAATGAAAAATAATCTGGGATATTCAAGGGCTCTTATTCATTACCCTGTTCTCTATCCAGCTATGCATCTGAACAAAACATATTTCCATTTATCAAACAGACAAGAAAACCTTTAGATCGATAAATGTTAGAGAATTTATGTAAAGGAGGCAGTACCATGACATACAGCACAATGAAACAGCCTTAAACCTACTCCCCTGTCTCCGAGACTATGAAATACAATAAATGGAAAAAATCAGACTTATTGTATGATCCTTCAGTAGCAGCCAGAATGGTTACCCATGAAGAGGTTATAGAACAGCTCACAAATTGGCACAGAAAATATTATAGGAGTTAAATTTAGGCTAGATGGCACTATGCAAAGCAAGGGTTGTACTCTGAATGCTACAGTATGGCACTCAATCTGATTCTAATTCAGAAGACTCTCCTATAACCAACATCTGCACTGCTCACTTCCTAGCAAGAGGGCTGTTGTGTCCTTTTTTGCTGATGAAAATCCCCATATGTCACATGTTTTTAATAGCTTCCTTATTTCTCACAAAGTGTGCCTAATACCACCACAGTCATAGTGTCTTATTAGGAAATTGGGTTCCTTGTCTTTGCTTTACTCCATTACAGCCCTCCCTCTTCTTTTAACACCCTTCTTTTAACTCGTAAAGCAGTTGAACATTTTAAACAACCTTCTACCACGTGGCTTTGCTTTACTTTCAATAAAAGGTTCTTGGCTGAACAGGTGAATTAGATAAGTTCTTCTCATCTAAAAATACAAACTCATTTCAGCAAAGAATTCAACAGCTCAAATCCCTTTTTTATAATAAGCAGCAACTATTCAAAAGAATGCTGAAGCACCAAGTCTACCCCATGAAGAAGTCTCCCCTGGTTTTGCACAGGTGAGATTCCACCAAGAACCTCTCTCATGCTGGGTTGGCATTGTGTAGCTTTTCTATTTAAAATGAAACACTTGAGTGAAATGCTAACACTCAGCTGTGCACCCTGCTTCTTCATCAATCATTGAACATATTATCCACCGAGGGGTGCAGCTGCTTGTCTGCCTGTGAGAAAGCAGGCTTGCTTCCTCAGCCTGTGAAAAGGCTCCACAACAACCAAGTCTCTTTCAAGGCAGTTTTATTTCTCAATACTCAAACATAAGCACAGTGTGAAATCACACAACTCCTCAGCTCATACTGGACCAGTGCTCTTAGAAGCATCTCTCCCTCAATTCCTCTGCTTGAGTACTTACTTCAGCAGCCCAGCTCTGTTCAATATCTGATGCTTTCCAGCAGAGAGGGGTAACAGTAGGGGGTTGGCTGGCCCCAATGTCTGTGGCCTTTTTAGGAAAGGCATGGGGCCCAGCCAAGAGACAGCTCTAATATAATTCAGAACCAACATGTTTCTTAGTTCTCTTCTTTTTTTCCTGTTACAAATGGCTGGAATTTAGAAAATCTCTCCCATCCTTCTTTCTCTATGCCCAGTGCTGCTTTCTTCTCCTGCCCCAAGAATTTATCAGCATAGTGGTGGTTTAGAAGACTTGTGGAGCTCCCCACTGATTTTTAGGAGCCTATCTGTATCCTGCTTTTATTGGTTTGGAACTTCAGTTCTGAACAGAAAGATTCACATGCAGAGTGCCTAGACCCTTGTTTGTGCTTTGCCATGGATCTGAGAGTTGAACTCCCTATGAGATGCCTGTGTCTTCAAGTGCCTACATTGCTTAAAAATCTGGACACAGTGTCTGCAGATGTGCATAAGTATCTTTCACATTTTTTTATATTTTGTGGTTTTATACTTTGCTCTGGACAGGTAGGTTTTAATGTACGAATATTGTGGGACTGTGGAAAGGAGCAAAATAAAATACCAACAAAATACTGCAAGACTCAAAATGTAACTGCAGTGAGCAAATGTGAAAATGCAGTTGAAAGTTTAGCTTGGAATTTATTCTTTAGAAAACAAAATCTGCAACCCTTTAGGCAGAAATTTTCTTCTAAAGAAAGAGAAAATACTTGGTTGCCTGTCTATACGTTCACAGGTTCTGCATGTCATTGCAATGTATGTGAAGTGGTGTCAGTGAAAGAAGAAAAGCTGCCTCCTTCCACTTTAGCATCCTTTTAAATGCTATTCTTGAAGAGAAAGCATGCACAGCTGTCCTGCTTCCTCAGCACAGAAAGCCTCACTGTTCCACCTAAATCTTTTTTTCACAGCATAGTTAATAGTTTCCATCATAAATCTTAGACAAAACACCAAACAAAACTATTTCCCTGTCCAGCCAGAACTAGAGTCCTTGGGCTACATCTCTGTTATGTTACTGCAGGATCCTCTCTCCTCTTCTGATGGTTTTAAAGAGAACATTCAGCCACTTCTCACATAAAGTCCAATAAACCACTGGACCTTAGTGGGGAAAGATGACTTATTAACCCTCTAACAGTATCATTATCCACTATTTAAAACCAGGAATACAAACTACAAAGGCAGCAAACAACATCTAAGAATGGCTATCTGCTCTCTCACTTCCTCATCCAACCCCAGACAACCTTCCCCACTGATACCGAGTCCTTCAGCCCACTTCCTCTCTCTCCTCTTCACTGCAGGCTACCCACAAGACCCTATCAGTGACTGCACGCATAGAAGTAGCACTAGGAAAAGTATTTAAGGCAGTGTTCAGCATTTTCAGAGTCAGCTATTCCCCCAAAAGGTGCTCTCAATTTGAATTTGTGCTAGAAATAAGAACAGTCAATCAATCCCACAGAACCAGATGTTCCTGTGCAGTGTATTAGTAACAGGCATATAGAGCTCACTTGAAAATTGTTGCTCTGCATTAACTACTAGGTTTTGCATCCTATGACTATATATAGCAATATATTTAAACTTAACCTGGATCCCAAATGCATGCCAGAACACAGCTCCAAACAAGCAAACCAAAGATACAGTATTATGTGTTTAATTTTTAGTCACAAACTTCCCTTCCAAATGCACACAGTGGTAACTTAGCTTAAAGTACCTTCAAATGAAGCTTCCAACAACAGCTTTGTAAATAGCTACAAGAAGACTTGACTATAAATTTGTCAGTCCAAGAACTTTCGGCAGAAAATGACAATTCAGAAATGTTTCACCGAAAGGTTGTGACTTCAGTGAGCGTCCTACGTGACCCAGTGACATTCAGACTCAACAGACTCCTGACCAGCTAAAATTTCTAGGGTCATGTAGACTACTCCAGTCTGTGACATCTTAGGACCTCCAGGCTCCTGCTCCAAAAATGGAAGATGGGCAGACCTGGAAGCTCCAGCCCTACCTGAGGCTCAGGATAGGGGCTCTGAAAAGCACTGAATTCTCCAAAGCCACCAGCATTTGCAGTGTCCCTGCCATGGCAGTTGCTGCCCTGGCAGTTTCTGCTCCCAAGTTCTGAAGCTCACTATTCAGTCGCACTTCTCATATTCCTAAGTATGTCTGGTAACTCTGACAGGAAGCCAGGAGTTACAAAGTAAGGAACCAAGTTATGGAAATGACTGGATATGCAGAATTTTAAGTTCTCAGACTCAAAAATCACTTGGAAATTCTGGACAAAAAAGTGCTCTGGTTATTCTGAAAACCTTTTTCAGACCTCCTACTCAAAAAGTCCATTTTTACATGCTCCAAATTGCAGTAATCCTTGCTTTCCTTTCTTCCCTCAGTGTCAGAATGACAACTGGTAATTCCAGCTTTCAAAGAATTCTGGGTGTAACTGTAAAATAAGAAGCACTTTGTGGTCGCTTTGAGAAAGGCAAGATATCTGTGGTGAAGTTCAGAAACTTAGCTAGGCTACCCATGTTTTTAACCAAGCAACTGATTAAAATCCACCACACTGTAACCTTGCTAATTTGGAGCTAATAACATGAAAACTCTCAGCAAATTACTTCTGTCTGCAGATTAGCCACAAGTAAACACAATACAAAAATAAAACCTCTGCATTCCATTCCTTCATTCATCAGAAAAGTGTAATTTAGTTTAAATTCTAAGCATATGTTTATATTTTTGTAGTACACTTTAAAGAAAGAATTTTAATACCCCGAGACTTTATTAAACCTAACCTTTGGTGATTAAGGCATGCTGTGAAGGGGTGAGTGCTATTTGTGAAATGTATACTGATGAAACATCAGCTAGTTAAAACTCTATTGTGTTTTGAAACTTTGTCAGCAATAACAGTTTTATTACATAGATACTTAATCTTCACCTTAGTGTCTAAGAGCCTTAATTTAGCTTTCTAGAAAAAGAGAAAACATTGTAGTTGTCCATGTTTGGAGGGAACACAAACTGGCAAACATACCACTGTTTTGAATTCAGACACTTGCCACAGCAGCCAGTCTTCGTTAAGCGTGTACAGGGCTTTGCAAGTGATTGCATCAACAGGTCCTTTGTTTATCCTCTGATTGAGAGTTGTCACTAGCAAATAGAAAGGTTCACCGATTGTCTCCTAGAACATGAAACAAATGCAAGGAATGTGTTTATTTTTGTAATCATTAAATGTGTATGAGTAACTAGAAAAAAATCAAGTGTAACGAATTAAGTTATCACCTTTTAACTAACTTGTTATCTTGCAATTAGAAAAGAAAATCTCTCTGAGCAGATTTATCTAGTTATTTGTTTAACCTCCATCCTTTGCTTTTGAGTGTGAAAGTGTCATGCAAATAGCAAGGGACAGCTGGAGTGTGCAGCAAGATACCTCACAGTCCCTTGCTGTGCACAAAGCACACTACAGACAAGCTGCTCCTACTCCACCTGGCAGATGCTACCTAGTTCCACCAAAGAGCTGATCAGGGGTGAGACACGCATGCGTTCACACACATAGTTCGGCTAATTTTTCCTTTCTCAGTCTTGTGAGAAAGCAAGCTAATGACTAGTTTCCTTTTGAATTGGTGTCTCCCCTTGTTCCTGAAAAAGCGCCTTGGAAGCAAGGTGGTGGCACACACACTGGTGTATTAGCAAAAGAGGGAATGAAACTGGGGCTTCCTCTCCTGCCTGAACCCCAGGCTTCAGGAAAGCACCTGAGAATGGAATGACAGATCTTTGTTTCCATGTGACACCACTCCTGCAGCCTAGCTAAGGCATCTCACTAGCACAGCTCTGCAAAGATGACTGGTGTATGGAGAACAGTTTTCTGACAGTTCCTTGGGTGTCTTCCGGATCCCAGGAAACCAGTGCGAGCTGCTGAGCCTCAAACAATTCTGCTGCTGTATTAATGTAGACTGATACAAGTGACACCAACAGCACAATACCATCATGCTGGTAAGAGAGACAGGAAGCACAACCAAGCATTGAAACCAAGAATGAAGTGCTACCAAGTGGGCTGAACTAAACAAACAGTAAACGAAAGAAAAGGCTTATTTTGTTTCCACTTGAAGTCATATAGTTCTTGAAACTGCAACGTTGTTTGGAGGTTAAAAAGTTTGCAAAGAAGCTTAGTTTTCCAAAAGGTCATATTCCCTACATCTTCATTACGTGGTAGCTTTCCAACAGCTTGCATAGAAAGGTACAGCTGCATTTTAACAAGAGTGTCACTCTTTTAGTATGATCACAACACATCTCATGGAGATGAAATAATGTCTGACATGAGAAAAGGATATGCTATAATGGCAAAATTACCCAAATTTCAGCTAAATAAATGACATCATCATTGCTTACAGATGCACTCTTTTCCTACATCCCATTGATGCTAGCTAGCTAAGTCACCTAAACTAGGAAAGTGCACATTAATAATGTTAAATGTTAGATTGAATGCTTTAAACTGATACCCCTAACAACTCCTATGGAAGAAATCAGTCACAAAAATTCTTTGTGTATCTTACATAGTGAAAAGATGTACACGTACCCGGAGAAATCCTGAAAGACAGACAGACATCCAGTTTGTCAGCAATTTTTCTACCACAGATTCAGTTCGTCTAAGCAGGAGCTTAGGCTGTACATTGCTTGACTGCTCCATCAAGTCCTTTGTCAACACTTCCAAAATATGGGTTAGATAAACTAGCTTAGTTTGTAGTGCAATAGTCAAGAAGGATGCAAACAAGCACCTGTTAAAAAAAAAACAACAAATCAAACTATAATTTTGGAATTTCTCTTCCCAGTTATCTTTAATAAATTAAACATGCTTTAGTGCAGTTCATATCCTAAGTTTTTCCTCCTCTGACACAGAAACTGTCCACTGATCTCTACAAAAATATAAAAAAATGCAAGTCCATCTGCTCTTGTGATTATTTTTTAAACACAGAATTTGTGTCTCTAATTCTGCAGAACAACACCTGCTTCAGTGACAGAACATTTCCAAACTGTAGAACTGTTGATCTAACTGCAGGAAGTGTTTACAGTTTTGAAGTGAGTTTTTCTGCTCCTTTGCTTCTTTGTTTACATGTACAAACATTCTGATTTATCTTTAATGGCTTGTTTCAATGGCAATGTTTTTTCTTCCTCACTGTGTGCAGATGGAGATGGAAAAATGCTCTGGAGTAATGCAAGCTTGTTTTGCAAGAACTAGAAAATACGTTTGTGTGCTACAATCCATTTTCTTTTTTCCTGTGAATTCTTTGTCTTGAAGATGATAAGCATAATCATACTATACCTGTCTTTCACAGAGAAATTTTTCTGCTTTTCAAGGGTGTGAATGAGAGTAACAAGAAAGTTCTTGTTACAAATTAAAGCATGCAACATGTTGAAGCTTTCATCCTTGCTTGTTTGGTCTCTGCTCTGGAATAGTTAAACAAAAATAAGCAAACTGTAGTTTGGCTACGATGGATTCTTAATGCTCAGAAAAATGGTAAGCAACATATGGGATAAGATCCTGGCCTCATTTAAATCAGTGGGAATTTCACATTTATTTCATGGGTCTCAGGATTTTACTGAAGATGCATTTGTGTTTGTGTACAACACAGAACACACACATGCAGACCATACCTTTTCTGACATATACACAAAGTAGTGCCAATAACTAAGTTTGCCCGTTATTTCCCATGACTAGATTCTGTTTATTGCATTTAAGTAAGTCATAATGTACATTGGGTAACAGCATCTTACACATTTATTTTTTTTTTATATAAATCCATGTAACCCTCCTCATGGGGGAAAGGGGACATATTGAAAAAGCGATCTGATGTGTTCTAGGACAACAGTGAGATAAGGGATACAATCACCCTTGAAAACTATTTATCAATTAAGGCATATCACACTACATCAACTTACCTGTGGCATGTCTTCACTGAAGATGGATGCAAAGCCTCCTGACTAAAATATAAGACAGGTGACATTTATCATTCTTACATATACCGAAAGTTTCTAATACATGTATGTCAAATATGCCAAGCATGTTCCTGATGGCATACAACTTGAAATAAAACAATGGAAATGCTGGCTTCTAATGCGGCTACAATATAAAAAAAAAACTTGTACAGTAACTTCTGCAAATGTGTTGCCAAGGTTCACTGAAGAGTGTACTCTGAAAGATGACCCGGTATTGACTTCAGTGTTACTGTGTGCATTACTCCACACTGCTGTAGTTAGTAGGCAACTAACACTCCACAGGAAGGCTGTTTATCACCCTCATCTGCAGATGTGCTGCTGTGCAAGGGGTGCTGCAGGCTGCATCCTTCTTGGACAGCAATGACAGCCTTTGGTATATGGGGTTTCTGTAACAGAGTGACACTTGAGTTCATCTGATTCCATTCATTTCCAGGCATTTTATGAATGTTCACTAATGAACTCTCCAGGAGGTCCATGCTCTCAGTCTCCAGAGAGGCACAGGTGCCACCACACATCCAGCCCTAGAGAAAGCTGTCACAACAAAGGGAAGCCCCCAGTTCTCAAGTACCTCTTGTTTGACTCTTACAGCCTGTAAGATCCCAACACAGCTGCATGTTCCCAAAGCAGTACTCTTGAGCAACAAATTCACACTAGTTACATTTACTGACATCTGCTTTATCTCTGATACTAGCAGACCTAGTTTCCTTATAGAACCATAGAATCACAGAACGGTTTGGGTTGGAAGGGACCTTCAAATATCATCTAGCTCAACCCCTTGCCATGGGCAGGGACATCTTCCAGTAGATCAGGTCCCAGCCAACCTGACCTTGAACACTTAAAGGGAGGGGGCATCCACAATTTCTCTAGGCAACCTGTTCAGCATCTCACCACCCTCAGAGTAAAGAATTTCTTCCTTAAGTCCAATGTGAATCTATCTTCTTTCAGTTTAAAACCATCACTCCTTGTCCTGTCACTACAGCCTCTGCTCTCTCTCTGTCCTTCTTATAAGCCTCCTTTACATTGAAAGGCTGCAACAAGGTCTCCCTCGAGTCTTCTCTCCTCCATGCTGAATAACCCCAACTCACTCAGGCTTTCTTCACAGGAGAGGTGTCCCTCTGACGAGTTTTGTGGCCTTCCTCTGGACCCACTCTATTAGGTCCATGCCTTTCTTTTTCTGGTGGGCCCAGAGCTGGATGCAGTACTGCAGGTAGAGTCTCATGAGCGCAGAGTAGCAGGGCAGAATCACCTCCCTTGACCTGCTGGCCACACTTCTTTTTATGCAGTCCAGAGTATGACTGGCCTTCTGGGCTACAAGTGCACATTGCTGCCTCACATCTAATTTTTCATCTACATATCTGATTTTTCATCCCTCCCTTTCTTCATGCTTCCTGATCTCTTCTCCCCTACCATACTCTTCCTCTTTCTCCATTGGCTATTCCCATTTTTCCAGAACTTCTTCAGCACCCCTAACACCACCTACCAATAAAACACACACACAGAGTGAAACAATCAGAACCACATTACAGGTTAAAAATGCTTGTGAACAGGGAATAAATGTGGTAGCATTCCAACAAACGTGGGAAATAGAGGGAAAACAGAAATAATAATAACCTAAATTTAACATGTAAAGCAAAAATCAAGCTGAACATAAGGAAATTTTAAGAACAGATGTAATATCCATTTAACACCTACAAGCATTAAGCACAAAACAAAAGCTATCAAGCCAGACTAAATATAGAAAATTGAAGCAGCAGGATGTGAGAAGCTCAAAATGAAGATGGGGTCCATCACTCTTAATTTTAGGTATCTGACTCCCTCTTTAAGCAACTCATCCCATCCTGAGACAGATGTCTGAGGCAAGTGGGATGAATCACTTTCTTCAGCTGCCTGTGTCTGCACTGACTACAGAAGGTGCTCAGCAAACAGCTTTGATGTCTGTGTTTAAACAGCCTAGATTAGATGAGACAAAGACCATCGAACACACTGGAAGGCAGAGAGTGCATAATTCAAGCACATGAGGTTAGTGAGGGAAGTGGTGGTTTGTCACCTCAACCCTTCTGTCAACTCTTCTGACACTCGGTTGCAACCTACTACCCCATTGCCTTTTTTGTTCACCTGTAATACTTGTTTAGCAGAACACTGCTCTCCTACCACATTCATACAGTGCAAGGCATGTTTGAACACTCCTGCAATGTAAACAGTAAGTACTTAGCAGGAAAAATTGGTACACAATATATTAAATAACTAGCCTGACACTGTATGTCTGTAAAGAGTTAAGAGTGGCAAGTTTACCTTTGTGGTATCAGTATTTGAAACTGGGACAAAAATCTAATTGGAATAATTTCTAGGATGCACAGTGGCACAAGACAAAACAGGAGCCCTTCCTTTTCTGACCTCACATAATGAAACAGAGTGGCAGACTTCGTGCCTTTTCTTCTTTCCTTTTTATATGCATAAAGCAAAGCATTTCTACCCAGACAGCTTCTACAGACTGTTACTGTTTTGACAGGGGACTATCACTAGGAAAAGATATATTCCTAAAAATAAAAACACTATTTTAATTATAATATGCCTGGCAACAAAACAAACTGAAAGAGATACAGAAAGTAAGGTTTCCTTGGTTCACTTTCTTCACACCACCTGATGACCCCATACAAATTAGACTGGGGGCATCACAGCAGTACCAGAAGAGATATTCCCAGTTTCCTTTCATAAGAGAACAGGACTCAAAGTGCACAAAGATTATGCATATGTAATTTTTAAGCATTTGATCTGCACTCCTTTGAATCAAGGTCTTACCATTTCTGTCAGCAGCTTGGAGCAGAAAGTCAGCGCAACCTTAGAGCCATTTCTTCATCCCACAAGCCTAATTAGGAAGTGTCATGATACTAGCTAGCATGTTAGCTAGCCTGACTGTTACTTTAATTAGCATGGAATGCAAAAGCACAATAACAAAAAAAAGCAATGGATAAATTATAGTTTTGTTAGGATGGCCTGAAAGCCAAACAGCTTAGTGTGACTGGGCAAAAAAAAAAATGGATGCACACACAACCCTTGAAAACTCAGTGGTGCTTTATCTAATGCATCTAGGCTTGCTTAAATATAGAGGTGTATAGTCTTAAGTGTTCTTTGGTAATTCTTGATTTAAGAGAAGTTTCTTGTGAAAACAATGTGCAATTACTATGTAGTATTAGTATTTACTTCAGCTATTTGATCTTGACCTTCCTAGCTTGTTCATTATTAGGCAGGGCTGACAACTGAAAGACTTGTAAAAATTTACCTCTGGAAAGAAAGTTCTAAGAGCAAAGTGTTTGTAGTCAAGGAAGGGAACAGTTCCAAAACTATCCACCACATCTAATTCATCCATCTGCAGTTCAGCAAATCCTGAAAAAGCGCACACACACACACCCCCCAGAGAGTTAGTTTAGCTGATACAAAATCATCTTCACAATTATAACTTGGCTCCAATAGATGTTCCTTAAAAAACAGTGTTCAGGGAAGAGCGGTTGTTCTTCTAGCTGAAGCCCTTATGAGCAGGAGTACCAATCCATTTTTTCCCTCACTTTTGTTGAAGGAAATATTACATGCAATCCTATTACCCCAGTGCTATCTGCTACTGCAGTGCACACCAACATTAAAGAGGAATTCTGATACAACACAAAAATATTCTAACAGCTATGAAATTAAAATGTTTATATAGTATGAGCTTCTTGACAGTTTCCATTCAGAAATTATGCTGTACTTAAGCTCTGTAAAGCTCTTTAGACCTACCTTCACGTATTTCCTTTCGAATCTCATATTCCAGCAGTTCAAGTTGCTGACTCTGTTTACGAGTTAACTCTTTGGATTTGTATCTAGTAACTATGAATGCCGCTAAAAAGGAAGGAAAAAAAAAGATTCTGAGTACAGAAACTGCAGAACAGACAACCCCTATACAAAATATATTTTAGTATTATTTTAAGAAACAGAAAGATTAATATACACTTGCACACTCCAGGAGGATTACTGTTTCTACTGTTGTCAGTGTGCTGGTGCCCATGAGGCCTAGTTATCTGGATCTAAACACCAATGTTTAACAAAACATTTCTTTTAACAAGGTCTTAGAACTGTCAATCCAACTTTATTTGAAAGTACAGCACACCCTGCTATGTACAACCTGCACAGTGAGACACAGAATCTAATAACCACTTCTACTACTAGCAACCTACTTAAAGGAGCACCAAAAAAAAAGGAAAACAGCTGTTTTGAACGGGAAATCCACTTCCAAATTGTTAACTTCTCTAAAGCTTATTTTGAGAGAGTAAAGGCATGAGAGATGGATCCTGTAAAGGCAATACACTTTTTTAATAAGGAATCCAACCAAACAAAAGAACAAACCCCTAAACTTCTTACAATAAATGGAAATTTATCAAATATATAACCAGGACAAAACATTCAGAAAAAAGGAGTCACAAAAAGAGGATGGCACAACTATTTACCCCCCTCAGTTTAGCAGTGACCTACAAATTCATGAATGATCCAAATGAGACTGAGCAGAAACACCACAAACACTGCTTGAGGATAAGCAGTTTGTTAGTGAACATCTGCCCCAGGGACACGAAGGGAGCCCAGCTTTGGCTGCTGGAAGGGCCCAAGTTGTGACACACAGATGTCAGTCCTATGGCTTGCCTCAGGAAATGATGGTAGTAACTTCAGCAGAACAGCCAAAACTACTGTCTTGTAATGTACTGTAGTCTGACAAGATGGACTTCACCACCAGGCCAGAATTAACTCTGTCCACTCTTACTGGGAACAGGGGAAAACCACCAGACTGTTAAACATGTATGTGTGTACATGTACATATGTTTATGTGTTCTGATTATACCCTTCAGAAAATCAAAAACTGAAAACACATTTTACTTACCTATAATGACACCCACTACAATAGGCAGCAAAATAAGAACATACAAATAGATGTGTGATGATGTTGGCTTGACTTCATGCTCAAAATTTCCTAATTTGACCTGAAGAAAAATAATGGCTGTGTTAACAGATGACAAATATAAGTGCTTAAAATTATATTTAATAAAAAAATAACCTGTATTTGAGGCACACGAAGGACCTGGTTCTGCAGATTACTGGGAAGACAGCAATTCAGTCAGTAAAACACATGTGAACCAACACAAACTTAACTTTTATTGTATTTGATGTTTAAGCAGGATAACAGAGCAATGACAAGAGGAAAAACTGGAGGTCCTCATGCAGCACCAAATTTTGCCATTGCTCTCGCTGCAAACTAGAGCCTTCAAATGACTGGCAAGACCTGGCCTCCAGTTGGCCAAGTGGTTCATGCACTTCAGAATTGCTGCTAAACATTCTGGCATTCTGAAGCGAGGGAGGTGAGTGTTGATAGTTAAAAACAGTCTTTTGCACTTACAGTGTTACTACTGAGCAGAAAAGATAAGACATGCTAATAATGAGAGAAGTAAAATTTTTGATAGATGCCTGGCCCACAGCCCTCTTCCCTATTTCTTTGCAGAAGTTTCAACCTCTTTATGTAGGATGTAGGGTGTTCCTGAAGGTTCGCTTAAGAACAAATGCAACATACAATACATGTACAGCATTGCCCAACAGCCATGGGCTTGTTAAAGGCAGTACAGGCATTAATTCTCAGGAATACACAAAGTGCTGAACTCTGCCAGATGCCAAACTGAGGCATTCACCACTGATAATTATGGCAGAAGAAATTTCACAAAGGAGGATCTCAGAGAGGACTGTGAAAGCACATAAATAAAGGGTAGCTAAGACTATAAACAGACTAGAATTAAAAATATGCTTTGATACAGAAAAAGAATACCACTAAGTGCCCGAGAGACACGAGCCTGAGATAATTGAAACAGAGAGCTGGGTTGGAATTATTTTGGGTTACAGCAGGGAAGGCAGATATCTGGTGATTTCAGTCACTGGCTTGTCACAGGAGGTGAGCAGCCAGGGCAGCTGGAGACTACCAGTCGGATAGTCACATCGCAGATACGCGGACACGAGCAAGCAAAGAAACCCCACAGAGCTGGAAGGACATAGCCTTTGTATTTCTCGGGCTACAAAGAACAGAAGACAAAGCAGACCTAATTCCTCCATCAAATGTTATTTTTTCCTCAGTTGTTTATACGTTTTCACAAATCCTATATTAAGCACTTTTGGTCTGAGTCTTCCTATGATAGCATTTGCCTTTTCCAAGGCTGAAATACATTGGTGGCTAAATATATTAATCATCCCGTGACTAATACACCTGCCTTTCTCCACTTGTCATGTCCAACCAAAGCATTCCTAAAGCAGAAACTTCTGTTACTCATCCTTGCTTATTGAAAACTGAGACAAAGCATTCATTTAATTTTCTGCTTATATTTAGATTATCTTTACTCTTCACCATAACCTTCCTATTCAGTGTCCTCTTTCTTTCCACCTTCCTATTCAGTGTCCTCTTTCTTTCCTTATCTTTTATTTATCTTTCTTATGAATCATGGACTAAATAAGCCATACCTGAACTCATCCAATTTCTATTCCTAAGTTAATTTCATTCTTCCTGCATGACATTATAAAACCTCCTCCGGACTGGTGATGTCTATGAGCTTTATGTAATCAGCCGATGTTTTTAGCACGTCTTATTTTTGTGCTCAAGTCACTAGTGATCTCAAATAATATCTGTATAAAAATCAACATTGCCCAGAGTCAGCTCCCTGTACACAGCATCCAGTTTTCCTAATCCCTAGCGTCTTCATAATCACCACATTAAGTAGTTTACTGAATGACTTCTGGGTACATGTGATGTACCATTTTGTTGTTGTTGAGGAAATCACTCATCTTATGAAATTAAGATATCTAGCATAATCTGCCTTTATTAAAAAGAAGTTGACAATTATTCCATTTTCCATTTACCTCCAGGTCTTTCATGAGTCCCTCATTCAAAACCCATTATAAAGCTTTACACAGAGCTAGGATTAAATCAGCAAGCCTCCATTTGCCTAGTTGCTTTGGTTTTTTTTTTCTTTTAAATACTGGTTTTATATTTGCTGCTCTCCAGTCATACAGTATGTCTCCTGACTGCAGTTTTATTTAAAATCTTTCCTACTATGCCTAAAATATCATGTGCCAGTTCTTAGTGCTATGATAGGAATGATCCTGTTCCTGCTGTCTTGACTCCCTTGATCGATCTGAATCTTGCTTCTGTCACAAGAATGGCATTTTCTTTGACACCTCCACTCAGACTGATCACCCTGTCTTTGACCCCACATTTGATATCCTCTTCCTTCCTGAAAACTAAGGCAATAGATACATTTATTCTTGGGCCATAGTTATCTTTTATACGTAGCTTATCTTTTCTTCACAGTGGCCTTACTTCTTCTATGATGATTTATTTATAAGATTGAAAAAACATGCGAAGATTTCCTACTTTTACATTTTCTTGATGTCAGAAAAAATAATTTTTAAGAAGTGGAATGTTACATTATAACTACTGCATTTGATTTGCCTTAGCAAAGTGGTGACCTTTCTATGACAGTCATTCCTATGAAGCTTGCAGGATGAGCATGTGATTTTGCAAGGCAATGTTAATATTTAAATGCAACACCAACCTCAGAAAGGCTTATCCATGCCATAACTGGCTCAGATGGCAGGATCCACAGATGGGGGATCAGTTAACAGTGATATGAAATTGAGAATAGCTTCGTTAATCTTTACTATGAGCCATATGCCTTGAAGTCAATAGAGTTATTTCAGTTTCATACCACCATACACTGCAATAAGAGTCTGGCATCATTTCTTCTCCCTCATAAATGGTGATGATTGCATTTTAAAAAATTCATATTTTCATCTTATTCATGGAGCAAGTATCTTTAAGCTGCTATTTAGCTTTGATATCCATGCTAATGTTCTTATATTTGGGCCTGGCTTTGTGCCATATGTTCAAAGCATTTTGGCCTTCCCAGAGCACACTGAATTTCACCCCCTTTTTCATCCAGAAATGCCTTCTCCTCTGCCTCAGTGGTGATTCCTATGTACGGTTCCAGATCCTCATCTACTTGAGTAGGAAAAAGTGAATGGGAGAACACAATCCTTTTCCTCACAGCCACACTGCAGGAGCAGATTGCTTACAGATCTAAGATGAGGGGCTCTCCTGTAGCCAGCAATGCTGTACCAGTGAAGTCTGTGCTACAGCTAGAGGTGTGACAAGCTACTGCTCTCCTGGACCTCAGCAGCAGTAAGCTAAGTTGGGCTGCAAAGCCTACCTCTGACATCACAGCAGTAACCAGATAGTAAATTAACTCAGTATAGTTAGTGGTACCTAAGCTAGGCAGGCATGCTTAGATAAGAGGAAGATAACTGTACTACCAAGTACAAGGAGAGCTGTATCCAGTTCCTTTCTTTATAAAGAGCATTCATGACAAGAGCATTAATGCTATATTTTACTACATTTGTATAAACACGCAAACACTGTTGAATTGCAACAAAAGGGAATTCTACTCACAAAAACTTTCACTGTGGAAAAGTCAATCTTGTCTGTGCCTTCCCTTTTGAATTTGCACAGTATGGTGCTGCGGTCTGGCTTTTTGGTAATATTTTGGACACTGAACCAGATCCTTCTGGTCTGTGCACCATTGATGTATGACAGATAAACTTCTACCTCAGTTTTAGAAATATTCAAGTTGTCATTTTCTTTCTAGAAGGAAAAAATCGAAGAAAATAAACAGTCACTATATAGAGTGAGAAATAAAATGATACCCAACACTATTTTAAATGAGAAATTATAGTTTATTACTTTCAAACTTACATATATTTTTAATTCCAGATCAGGATCCAGCTCAGTGTGCAGCTGGTAGTTAATGAACACTGGGTCAGGGTGATAGTGTAATTTGACACATGGTATAAAGGTAGTTTCCACTTTTAACATCATATCAACAACTTTACCCTCTGTTGCATGGCTCAGGCTTGGTGTTAAGTAATAATATTCAGATTCATTTCCAGGACACCTGGAGACCTAGAAATGCAATAGCGAAGTTGTAACAGTCATTAAGTACTCAACAGTGGGTACAATTACAGAGGCACTCAAAATCATTTGATAATGTCTTCCTGACTTTACACAGATATTTGCTAAACCTCTGAGATCAGGGCTGCATGCAGAGCACTGGGAAAATCTCTGCGTTGAGCCTGTGTCTACATTTAAGCACATTTATCACACACTCTGCACGCTGCTTTGAGGCTGATTGCACACTGCTAAGGCAGCTATTTTCTGCAGTGAGACAGGAATTGTGACAGTGATTTCTCCTTCCTTCCCCTCAATGCAGGTGACAAGAGAAGAGCAGGAGGAACTCTCCAGCACCCCTGGGCATTGGCTCTCCTCAATTTAGCGCCTGAGAGAGGGGGATTGCTACAGTCACGCCACTGTTTACTCCATGGGTTGGTGCTGCTGTTTGCCAATCTCTGTGCTCCAAGCCCAGGAGTCAACAGGGTGCCTACCTCCTCACAGCCTTGGAGAAAGTGTTTCATCCCCACATCAGCTCCAGTCTGCCACCCCTTGCTGAGGCAGTGACACCATTTGGGTTCTCAACACAAAGCCAGAGAGAAGTACACCACCCCCTCCTCCCATATAAGGAGGCTGGGGAAGACTCAGGACAGATTTGGAACAAGTCTCCAGAGCACAGAAAAAAGGCTCAGGGAATTACGCAGAAGAGTAGCTTATGTGTCTCCGTAATCTTGTACTGAGAACTTCTACAACCGTAATCCTACAAGTGGTCATATTTATTTCAGTAGGGTGACTGATGTGTGCCTGCAGGTGTTTGAAAAATATTGAGATTCTCCTGAAACCTTAGGAACAAAACTTAATCCCTCAAGAGACCTCTACTTGGTATTGTAAAGAAGATTCAGACTTACAGTAAGGTTTGATCTCTGGTCATCTGAAATAATCACACTGTCCACCACATTAAAATTTCTACCGATTGTAGTAATTTTGCGACCACCGCTGTAAAAAAAAAAAAAAAAAAGGGGGGGGGGGGGGAGCAGAGGGAAGGGAGATTAATATTGCCTGTTTCCCACAGATCAGTCCTGCATTAAGGCTTCAGCTGTGAATAAACAGCTCATGTGCATTTTTATTTGGTAGCAGCCAGTATAATAAAGTCAAACTGCAGGACAAGATAACTTGAGTTATATAGTGTATTTCCATTCTTTCCTCATTATGTAATATTAGAGACTTTTGCTACCACAAAACGAAACTACTTGATAGCATACAGATGCATCTTCCTTTTCAGGGACTCTCCACCTTGTTTTCTGTTCACACAGCCAAAGAACTAGACCGTGATTTAATATTCTGTCTTGAAGGAAAAGCATCATGGTATTTTACTGTCCCAGAGCAGCCCTGTCTGTACTTAATTCTTGCCTTCTTCAGGATAAACCAGTGGTGCCAGGCACCTCACAGGAAAGATGTTCAGACCATCTGTCTCAGCACACACAATGGTGCTTGTGTCTGAGGGCTCTGGCTCAGAATCTCTGTTGAACACAGTTGGAGTGGTTTAAGGTATTATTAATTTCCAGCTGTCTGAGCTGTCTCTCACCTGGAGATGAGGGCATGCATTCTAGCCACTCAGCTGCTTGCAGCTGCCAGCCCAACTCATTACCTCAAATCCACATTTGCCAGTGCTTGATGCCAAGATATCAGATTAAGAACATGTAAAAGAGTAAAAACTCTGCAGGCAGAGGAACAGGTAAAAAGCTGTGCCTAAGAATATCTTAAAACCACCCTGTAAGTCCTTCACCAGAGCTGTGAGTCTCCCACAGAACACAGCAGAGGCTTGAAAATGGATGGTTTGGAATTAGGGAACTCACACCTAAAGTCTGTATGTCTCACTCCAGTCATGATTATTTTAATTTCATTTCTAATTCACTGATACTTTATACTGTTTTGGAGGTGAAGGGTTTATTAGTATCAAGAAATCAAAGTTAACTGGAGTTTGAATTTATGGATGGTACCCATATTTTGGATCTAGTTTTAGTATGAAGAGATTGTTTTTGACTTCTACAGAGACCTGGGGTGGGTGGGAAGGAGTTTACAGAATCCTGCAGAATACAGAATCCATCTTGCAGCTATCATAACCCTATCTGTATGTTAAATCAGTTCACTGGTGTAAATTCAGTCTCCACAACAGGTTACAGCAGTCATCTGAGTTTATATCACCTGCAGTCTGGCCAAGGAAGGAGGCTCATATCAGCTCAGTGGGATGACATTTTAATAAACACATAAGTATAGAAAGACAAATTTACCTGATCCAGGAGGTATTTGGTGTGATTCCAAAACATGATGGCAGTGAAACATAATGCAGGGTCATTGGTGGTGAACACTTTTTCCCATTAGCCTGTATACATATACTTTTGGCCTCTTTACGTGTTGGTGGGAGAGCAAATGTCATTTGTGTATCATTTAGTACATTTCTAACTTTAATGCTGGAGGAGAAAGAAAACAGTCAGATGCTGAAACACAGATGCCATTCGCTGGTGTTACTACACGAATCCTGTAACCTAAAGCAAAGGATAAGGAGAAAAGAGAAATGAACCTCTCTTTGAGCTGTGGGATGGAGGTGGAAAGACAGAGCAGGGAGTTGAAAAAACAGAGTAGGGTATCTTTTGAATGAAGTTGCTATGTGTCACAATAATCACAGCAGACAGTACAGATATTGGTCTTATGGCCTTGGAGTGAGGCTATGTAATGCAGTGTGTGATTTTGCTCTTTACTGTGTACTTTCCTGTGCTACCAGCATGGTCCATGAGCTAGTAAAGAATGAGAATATTCAGCTTCCTTTTCATTGTTCTTTTTCTTTTCCTGTTTTCCCCCTCCTTCCTCCCTTTTACTCCTTCCTCTTTCTACTTCTTCTGTCTCCCTTCATGGTTGAAGTAAAAACCGAACAGTACCATATGAACACTTTTTCAAGTGTTCATACGTAAAATGGACTTGGTAATCACAGACAGCCATTGCAGCTGCACCTAAAAAGGACTGATTTAGAGTAAGATAGCCTCATTATCTAGGGGTTACACTGTGCGATTACCAACAGAGAAAAGTATAAGCTGTTGCATGAGATTCCCTTCCCAGGCAGTGTTTGCGCTTTGACAAGCAGAGTCCTAGAATATATGGGGAATACTTTGAAGCAGAGGAGAGTCAAACAAAAGCTGAGACTTTCCTGTGACCTATCTTTTTGTTGCCTGCTGCAAGGTACAGAGGCCACAGGTACAGAACTGTCCTACTACTCCTGAGAGAACTGCCCACCTACCCATCCATCCCTTGTATTGTACCCAAACATCAAATTAATTTCCATCCTTTGGGAATTTGAAGTGGAAGCATAACCAAAGGAGTGAAGAGCATCCCCCTCTCTGATGGAGAGAGGTCCATGACAGCTGTTCACACAACTGTATTGCTAGGGCAAAATGGGCATAATTTTCACCATGCAAAGTACATAGTATTATTTTTCAGAGCTTAACTCACATGTCTGGTTTACAGCCAGTGATTCCAGTCAGTATCAGTTTTATGCCTGATGCACGTGTAAAGTTTTCTCCTTTGACTGTTATTTCACTTTTGCCTAGTGTAGAAATCCACAAAGGTTCAATGGAATGAATGCTGATATGCTATTAGAAAACAAAGCAAAACAAAATCTGGTTATAAAAAAAAGCTAGGCAGTTAAACAACAGCTGTAAAAACAACCACCACTCAGGAATGCAGGTTTTATGGCACTGGGATACATTTTTCTTACTAATTTCAAATCCTGTTAAGCTCGATCTTGGGAAGGACTGTCAGTCACAACTTCCTTACAAGCCAACTATTTCTACCTATATATTTCAAATTATCTCATAACAAAGTTGCTCGAAGGAATCACAATCTGACATACTGGAAGGTAAGTATCATAAAAACCCAGATTGAAATGATACATTTTGTGTGGCCCTTGAAGAACTAAGAAACAACACAAGACATAACCCATGGTGCTGTCACTATGAGAGATCAGTGAAACAAACGAAGGCATCTCTTGTGACCTGAGAAGGGGAAGCAGGGTCAAATCCTAGAATGAAAAGTCAAGAAAGAGCCCCAGAATTAGCTTTACTAGAAAGTCCTTTGAGTCATACGTAGAGCTAAAGGTACAACACAACTCTGGTGATTTTTTGGTATCCTAATTTGGTGCTAAGAAGTTTACAAATCTATTTTCCAACATTTAAGAATAATCCAATTTGCTCTGATGCTGTCACGATCTTGTAGAAACGTGGCCAATTTTAAAACTGTTTTTCTTTGTGTATCTTTATATTTACTTATTCTTACTAACACTACCAAGCGAGAAAAGAGATTTTTTTCCATAGCGTATTTACTTGATACATTTGACAGCATCTCATGTTTAATCAGTTTTGCTGCTTCCCCTGTTTTATAACCACACAGACGGTTTCCTCTCTGTGTATCTTTCAGACAAAAAACTGAAAACATTCAAAAAACCAAGAAAATATACATGTGAAACCACAAAGTGTTTGGGACCTTCTCAGGCAAACAATTTCTAGCTTGCTTTTAGACTGTCTATAATACCAGTTTAAAGTGAGTTTTTAGAGTATTGTGATTATCCTGATCTCTGCTGTGCACCTGTGGACACATTCACTGGGCAGTTCATCCTTTCCAACCCTGAGAAGGGTGCTGGTGCAAAATCTTTAGATAAGTCCTTCCCCCGGGAAGATTAGAAGATTCCCCCTCTAATCTTTTCCAGTAGCCATAGCAGCACTAAGACTTTGGGCTGGTGGCCTGAGGGGACCACCAGGGTCACACTGCCATCCTCCGCAAACACAGCCTTTCCCCATTTCAGAAATGTCCCTGGAACATTGTCCCCACATGCTACCATGGCCCACTGAATGCTGGAGTACTCCAGAGCAAATGTGAGACCTGTCACAACTGTTTGAAAGCTGCAACTTATGCCTTAGGAAAGGGCAAGAGAGTGTAAAGGCTGGGGCCAGAGGGACCCCATCAAAAGGGCCTCCAATATGACCTCTGGTATGGATAACACAGGAGGGCAACATAAACTCCTGACAAACACCCTGAGGGGGAAAATTCACTCCCACCCTGACCTGGGGATCAGTTTAACCCTTAGTATGTGAGCAGCACAAGTGAAGCAGAAATCTGAGAGATTAAAGCCAGTGAAGCACCAGTGGTTTTCTCTATCTGCATCCTGCCCCTCTGCTTGTGTCCAGCCTCCAGCACACCAAGGACAGTCAACACCTTCATGCAAATCCAGAAGCCAAATACTACAGAAAGGAGTAAAACACTACTTCAGGACTCTCACTGGTAACCAGCAGGGAGCCCTGAAGCATGGGAATAACACAGTATCATACAAACACAGGGAGATCCCCCAGAGCTGCATCAGGGCTGTGAGCCCTCATGAGGGAAACGCCAGGCATCCCCTGCCCAGGGGTGCGGCAGGACACTGGGGTGCTTCAGGGCTCCTGCTGCCAGGCACCACACACCACAGCACACCTCAGCTTGGCTTGCCTTGTTTTTCTTACACCAAGCAGAAATCAGGGGAAGAACGGCTCACTCTGGAAGTTTCAGTCCTCCTTTAAATCATGCCTTCCATGCGGCTACACAACACGGACTCCCTCGCTGCATCCTGCCTCGGACTCATGGCATCAGCGCAGTCACCTGCAGCACTGAGGTAAGTTGGCCTCAGCAGCTTGACCATCCTGGTTTGTGACACTTTCCTCAGCAGCAAAAGAAACCGGAGGGAACTGAATGTGGGAGGGATCAAGCATCCTTGCTGGGGTCTGTGGTGCTCATTTCCCCAGCATCAGAGAGCCACTGACCTTCCAGTCGCTGCATGGCAGGGGGAGAGACACCCAGCAGCACGAGGGAAGGGAGACAGCGGAGAGGCAGGATATTTATAAACATCACTACTTGTGAGGCATGCAATGAAAGCAGTGTAAACATGGAGAGAGACATACAGGAAGCATGCACCAGGTCCTCAAGTAACATAAATCAGCACAGCCCTGTCAACTTCAATAGAGCTCCATGTTTCTGAACTGCAGCACCCACCCCCCTGCATTCCCTGGACAGCCTAATGCTTCCCTGGGCATCCACATTCTCAGAGGTGTGGTTAGCATAGCTGGAGGTCCCAGAGAATTATCTGGCAGTAGCCCAGATTAAGCAGCCTCTGCTACTCCAAGGAGCTTGTCCCTGCTTCAGCATGGCCCTTCCTGCGGTGCTAGCATGGGGCCCCAAGGCCATGGGAAGAACTGGATTGGGGAACTGGCCCAGATGAAGCCCAGACCTGCTGAAAGGCAACAGCTATTTCCAGCCAAATCAGTTCCCCAGTCAAGCATACTTGTGCAACCACTCCAACTGCTGCTCTGGCACAGGGAGGGGGAAGGTGCATCATGGAAACCAGCAACTGGAGTCAGGAGGAGGGCTGGGGCTGCCACTGAAAAAAGAGTTTATTAAGCTAAATGCTCAGCTAGGGTTGTGGGAAAACACAAATCCTCTTTCTCAGCTCCAGTATGTTCTCCTTAAAGCACCAGCAGTCAAAGGAGAGCAGGATTTCAAATGCAATTTCAAGCCCTCTGAATGGATCAATCACTTCTAAATAAACATCTGCCTTTGGACTGCCTCTAGCGCTTTCACTGCCTTGTCCATCACTGTCTTTCTGAGATAAGGCATGTGGAAGAAAGCCATCTCCCAGGCAATTCTAACTATTTACCAATGTCAAATTAATGCACTTGGAATCAGAGCAAAGAAGAAATTCCTCTGTTCTTTCACCAGCCGTAATGCTTTATATGCAGACCAAATCCAGAATATTAATGCTCAGAAGTACAAGTTTTACAATCCCACTCATCTCTGTGAAAAACAAAATGGATTTTGTGATTTTATTGAAGCAACCTAGCTGAACAGCTGAATTTAAGAGGTAATTCATGTCTTCACAGGCAGAAATTTGGGTAGTTCTAATGAAACGTTCAGAGATAAGAACACAGTTGCTATTTATACCAACCATGCTATCACTCACAGAAAAGCAGAAACCAAAAAGTGTAGGCAGCAAATCTCTATGTACTTACTCATCAGTCAAATTTCTCTTCACTACTCATTTCTTTCCTAACACCTGCATGTCAGAAGTAACCACTGATGACAAGATCACTCAGTTTTATGAGAAAATAAAAGCATTTTGGCACCATAAAGAATGAAGGGATAACCTCCTGGTTAAAGGGCTGGCCTACAAGGAAAACTGTATAGACTGTATGGTCACATACAGTCTATATGATATCAATAGAGAACTCAACAACCAGATTCAGAAGGTATTTTGGCACCAGTGACACTCCTGACTCTCCAGTGATCCAGCTGGAGCAGGATGGATGGAGAGTAGCTCCATCTCCAGTTTTGTCTACAGCCTGGAAGCAAGGAAAATTTTTCTGGAAGTGTGAAACATGGATTTACTAACACCCAGGGTTTTCAGTTCCCGGATGCATCCTCTAGCCACTTGTCTGTTATGCAGAAACGGGGTGGCACATCTCCCCCTTCCTTCTGCTCCCCTGGCAGCTATGTTTCAGAAGAAGCTGTGATCTGGCTGCATAAAATGAGGAAGAGGTTTGAGACTCTGAAACCTAGTTTCACAGAGTTGCCTGTGGCAGCAGAACTCAAACATGCCTTTAAGTGGAGGTAAGATATTAAGTCTGAGATGTTCTCCTTTGGTTTGTTTTTTTTTTGTTGGTGGTCAATATACACGTCCCAGCCCTCAGCACACTGGCTCCTGGGGAGTGACTAAATACAGCATACAGGGACTTTGGCATTTAAAGCAGTATTGTAAATACTGCATCTAGAGGTACGCATATGACTATTGCAGTGTTCACTGTCTCAATGCCTGGATTTGAAACACAAATTTTTGTTGGTACCTTTAAGCACCAACAAAGCACTAAGAAAAAATAGTATCAATTCTGCATTACCTTTCTATGTAACCAACTGACTGCCTCCTCATCCATATCTCTACTCTTCCTGCAAAGTCTTCTCATTTTAAATAAATCTTTCCCCCAACCCACAGAATCTCAGTAATGTTGATTTTAAAATGCTAACTAACCTCTGTTTTCTGTGAAGTGGCGATCCCCTTGGAAGCAGCTGCATTACAGCTATCCTGAAAAAAATCAGCATTTCTTCACGTCAGGACAAGGAAGAAACAGATTGCTGCTCATACATAAAATACAGGAAAAGGCATCACAGAGGATTCCAGTCCTCCTCAACAAAATTCACCTGGCAGGTGGTGGCAGGAGAGACACGCGTCCGTTTACAGCTGTCACAGTCACCCTTGCGTATACACCGAGAGCAGCTGGTAACACACAAAACCGAGTTTTTGTAAGACATGGGAACTCAATCTAGATTCAGCCATGAATGTGAAATTTCAAGTAACAGAAAAAAGCACAAACCCAAGAGAACAACCTGGCAAACATGTAATGAAATGTGTAAAACACATAACCTATGTTTACCCTCCAAGCCTATTGTTCTGCTGTGCTTGTTCTGAGGACAAATTTAGTATGAAATACAACCTGAGCTGAGATCTGAGTCTCAAAAATTTTCAAAAAGCATGAAGCAGATGGAACACTTTGTGTTTCACTTTGCTGTGGTTCTCTCCAGTACATAAGTGGCCAAATAGTACTTTTTAAGCAGAAAAGGGCAGAAAACGATCACTGATTCTTTCACAGCTTTCCTGAATTTCTGTTCTCTGTGTGTAGAGCTAGCAAGTATTGCTAGTTTGCTATTGCCTTCCCCTACTAAAAAATATACCTGTTGGGGACTACTTTGTCCCTATCTTGCTTTGCAATGTGTCCATCAGCATGGAGGAGAGCCAAGAGCAGCACAGGCCCTCTCCATGCATGCTTAGAAATGCTTTGATTTAGAGAAAGACAGCTCCTTCCCTGTGTTGCTCCAGGGAGAGGAAAGTGATGTGCCACTTCCCAAAAAGTAGGAGCTCAGTTTCATCCCAAGTGCCTATGAATTATTCTCTTTGTACAGGGGAGGAGCATTCTGAATGGGAATACTGTAGATACCTACAGCATAGGTTAGCCAGATCTTAAGTTTTAACAACCATGTATCATACAGGGTTAGACCACATATTGGGCACAAATGCTTTCTACTGCAAGCTCTCAACAGAGTGTGGCTCTGAAAAATAATGTGTACAGGACAGTAAGTATTCATTATTCCTATTAGCAGATTAGATGTTACTTTCCAGTTTAATTGTATTCACATTACCCATTGACCATATTTAAATTGCACCTGGCTCTATTAAAAAACAGATCCATAAAGTGACTTTTATAGAATCTTTTGACTCCTCTGATCTAAGTCTTACCAGGGGCCCACCTATTTCACAAAGACAAAAAGGATTTTAATGTCATTGTGACATCCTCTGTTATCTCTTCGGCACTTGTCATAAATTCAGTCATTGTAATGACTCGCCTACAGACAGGTGCCAGGGTCCCACTAAATAAGTCATCCAAAGAAGTAGCTTTCTAAGGACAATAAAAAAAAGAGAAGGAGGAAACAGACCAAGAAAAGAGGTGTGACTATCTTTAGCAAAATGTATTTCCTTAATAAATACAAAAAAAGAATGACCATACTTCAGATCCCCTCCCCCCCACACACACATAAACCCCTCAATGAGTCAGTAGGAACGAGGCTCTTACTTTTTCAACTGAAATGTCTGTGTGATATTCCAAGAGCTTGAGGACAGCGATGCTTCAAGAACTAGACAATCTGGAAAAATGTGACTGTTAGACACATGATGGATACTACATGAAATAACTGTTAAAAAAAAAAAGAGTTGAAAGCTCATGTACCTTCCGCTGTTCTCTACATGGTATGCACCTGCTCTCATACATTCACTCACATTTTAAACTGATAAAGATAACTAGATTTTGTCCTTCCATAGCACCCTTCAGCTGAGTTATTCCAAGACTTTATACACGCTCATCAATTAAGCTTGATGCCATCAATGCATGACATACAAAAGTAATGTTATTGTCAGGCTACAGATAAGGAAATGCTACCTTAGAGTAGGTAAAATCATCTCCTGAAGAGCACACAGTGGTATACTGTGGCACAGACAGACCCCAACTTCAAGCTTTCTAACACAACAGACTGTTCTAATGTGAGAGACCCCAACATACCATATGTACTTTCTCTATTTGTCTCAGAGACTTGGTTTCAGAGTCTTCCTTTGTAATCTATGCAGTAGCAATTTTCATCCTATTTAAATCTTTTATGATTGCATGAGTCAATTTGCCATTATTTCAGCTAGCAATTACTATACCGACAATTCACTGGCAGCTGTGGAATGAAAGAGTATCTCCTCCTATGAGCAGAATACCACATCGAAAAAGTAGTGTTAGATATATACCACTTAAACCATGGTCCCTTTCATCTGTGTGCCTGCAGATGTGTATGTCTGTGAAATGAATGACTGTCTGAGATCAAATGAAACCCATGTGTGCAGACTTTTCTGGCTTCTCTATGCTAGGAAGTAGATAGCTTTTTAATCCAGGAAAGTTATACAGATTTAAAGTATACCTGCCTTGCAGAGGTAGAGAAAGCTTTGTCTTTATCGCAGGCTGGCTTGTTCAGACGAAAATCAGCTTTGGCTACATCTACATTGTTAAATCAGAAGTATCTCCTACCTCCATGTGTCAGCATGGCACCTGGGTGCTTACTGCAAAGGTCACCTGCACTGCTCGATAAAAACAGCCCTTGGGATTGTTTATATGCTTAAATACCTTACTAAACAGATACAAAAGAGTCTGATTTTTTAATGCTTGAAGATGTGGATGACATTCTGAAATCCTTCAGCAATCACCTATTTGCATCTCCAGAAATCGGTGTATCTGCAAAAATCCGACATGTTGGGCACAAAATTTCCTAAATCATTTGCTTAGGTCATTATATAAGAAGGGTCTCAAGCCATAGCTACTGAAAAACAGTATTTTACTAGGAGTAGTAAGTAAAGGCAAAGAATTTATCTGCTTCTGGTAGAGCTTGCCTTCTCTTTTAAGTTTGTATAAATACTTTAAGGACAACACTGTCAAATATGGTTCCCTGTTTTTTTGTTTTGAAATTAATGGAACCTATTATTTTCTGCATGGCCTGGGCTGACCTTTCAAAATCCACCAGACTGCACTGAGTAGCAGGTATTTTCAAAATGTTTTTTTTCCAGAAATGATACCTGAAGAAGTTTTGCAAGTGCATCTTCTTGTGAGACTGAGGTCACTTTACATGTGGTACCATAAATACTCAACATAACTCCCACACTTGCATTATCTACTAATATATCTCAGCTCGTAGGAGCATGTGAGTGGCAGTAATACTGGTGGGCACAAGCTAAGCTCACAGCCTTCTGGTTAACACTGTCAAGGGGCTCATCTTTGGCACAAAGCACAGGCAAGGTGAGCTGGCATTTGTAACACTATACTCTGAAAACCTGCTAATAGAGTAAGAGAAACCCTTAGTCTGAGAAGACAGAGAACCAAAACAATGTACTCCATAATTACAAAAAAGCAAAGGTTTTGGGACTGAGTCAATAAAAGATGTTTTTTTCTTCTCTAATGTATTTGTCCCTCTTAAAATCCACTAATAGTATTTATTAAAGACTGCTTAATAGATCAGAATACTCGTGGATATCACCCTAGTTGTCACCCGCTAGTGACAAAGTCTTTTCTTCTCGATTCCCACATCAATATTAGATAGGAATTGACACAACACTTGTATGATGCCAGAGATGATTTTCCCTTACAAAGGCCATCAGATGAGCTCCTGAGATCCCAGTACTACAAGGAACCTCCTTCAGGGCAAGGGTCTCTCAGAGAGAGCTTTTTGCAGCACTGAGCTCTTCAGAACAACAGGTCTTTGTAAGTTCTGGTTAATATTTCATTCCTCTTTCTACACAAAGGTATTATAAGAGAATCAGATCCATGCTGAGTATTACATGTCTTTTGGGCTATGTTATCTAGGAAAAGACAAAGGCAGCATTTATCTAAATTTTCTGTTTCCTCTTCATGTCACTTAAGAGCACATACTATCCTTGAGCTTGCTATCTTTGTTCCTCAGTTTAGATTAAAACTCTCTTTTGTATTCTATCATAAACAACTTTAAAAAGGTACAAGGTCAACCTGCATTTAAAAAGCTTTGTGCTTCTATATAGACCTTTGAAACAATGCAAGGGTGATGTTTTCCTCCTATTAGTCAAGTAAGACTACTGAGAAGAATTATGATCTGATATTTGAGACCAAAGCCCAGAGGTCAGCTGAAAAGTCTAGACATTCAGTAATTTACCACCTCATTCTAAAACTTGTAGTTGCCCATAAGATGCACAAAACAGATCACATGCAACATGTGTCCCATACAAACGACTCAGGTTTCTATTTCTGAGAACTACTGGTGAACAAAGTAGTATAAGAATTACTGCAAAATGATTCAACCAATAATTCAGAAAGATGAATGAAATCAAGTCAAAAAGATGTACCAGACAAATTGCCCTTGAATCGTGTATTTTTCTGCTAATCTTCTGCATGGGACAATCACTTTCTCACAAGTGTCTTAGGTTGAAACAGTTAATTGAATATTATTTATTGTACAGATATTCATAGTCATATACTTATCTCATTAATGCTAGTACAGTTTCTTACAAAACCAAATTCTGCTTGTGGATGAGAGAAGGGTTAAGATGGTTTAATTTGTCACGGCAGAGCATGGGACCACACTGCTTCCACAGCTCCAGCTAGCTTGATTTTCTCTGAAGCTATCTTAAGTTTCCTTAGACAGTAATTAATGGCACCACATATACTCTTAATGCTAAAACACTGCACTGCTACAGGCTGAACTGAAGAAGCTGCTTCTAGCCATAGGTTGACATGTTTTATTGCTTCTAGAAAGGATTCCATATTAACAAATCTAATTATCAAGAATAGCGTGAGTATACTCAAATCACTTGACAAAACATGATTTTTTTTCAATGACATTTAATAAAAAGCATTACTTGCTCTCACACTCATCAGGCCTGTATTTATCCTCAGTTCTCCTCGGTAATAAAGGACAGTGAATAAGCATTAAATACATGTAATAGTAAAACATACCATTATCAGTTATCTCCAGGGCGGTTAGATTGCAGAAACAGGATGAATTTTTCAGCACTACATTTTCATAAAATATTTCAACAGGTTTTACAATTTTTATCACACAGGAAGTAAGGACTTTGCTTATGTTTGCAGCCACAGCAACCTATGGAACAATAAACACAAGAATACAAGAGATTTCTTGTAATACTTGTTGTCACCTTGTCTTTACAGAAAACTACAAATGATGAAATGTACAAAATGAAAATTTTTGTGGTGGAAGCAGACAATTCACTAGGTAGCCTCTCAAAGGAAAGGGCACCTCCCAACTGAAAAAGCAATACAGAAGGACTCCTGAAAGGAACAGTGTTGCTTACTTCCAGAAATTAAATGGATCTGTAAGGCATGTTAGGGGAGCAATCTGGAATCATTTTGGATTTTAAAACAAGAGTGTTGCTATATCAGTGTTATGTACTTTTATAGTCCCTTAAAAATATTTGAGCAAGGATGTACAAATCCTCAGAGAGAGACAACATTTGCATCCATAACCAGTGCACTTAATTATGAAACAGAATTTGTCTTGTAATGAATTATCCTTTGTTTCTGGCTGAGAGCGCTTTACAAATATGATCACATTAGTGCATTCAATCGGGAAACCAGAAACAATAGCATGCAGATTAAGTGGCCAGTCACAATACTTGATAATCAAATACTCAAGGCTGTGTGTGCTGTGAACAGATACTGAGTAAATACTAATACCAAACACTTAAAGACACATTTGTGTTAGCATATGTGTCCCAGTGAATGTTTTGTAACTTGTTACAAAGCTTAGAACTTACATAATGCACTTGATATATAGTCACTGGAAATATTAGAATAGCTGATAGGTGATACAATGGAAACGTTGCATTTGTCAGCACAGTGAATTTTTGACCCAACATCATGAAGTATAGCGTCAGGATACATTTTATAGGAGAGGAAGAGAACATCCATCTGACTGACATATTCAGCTTACTGGGATTTCCAACACATTTGCCAATTGTTGAGATAAGAGGGACTAGTATATGGAAGGAACATAGTGACAAAAGAAGGAAAGCTGAAATAAGCAACAAAACGACAGATTTCAAGTCACAACAAACAAACAAACAGGCATAAAACTGGGTGCACATACCTGATTTTTTGCAGGGAAATCTAGCAGGATTTTCAGATCTTTATCAGGTGCATGCGAAATGTTATACCAACCCTTTATGCTGTTTGAATGTGTACAATTTTCTTTTAATGTGCACCTAGAAGTATACATAAAATTATACTAGCCTTCTTATTGTGGCTATGACTTCAGACACTGTACTTAAACTTATTTCATGTTATTGATTTTTTACAGGAACACTATTGATTTTTTACAGGAGTATGGTTATAACTGCAAAAAGCTTCAGGAAAACAATCAGTAAAATCTTCTGCTTATCAAAATAAATTACAATGCATTGATATATGCTCTAGGGTCCCAATTAAGTCAATGGGACTCAAGCAAGTATTAGATGCTTGGCCAATAACAGTGGACTTGGTAGCCTGGGATGGAATTCATTACCCCCAACCTGATTGCTTCATTGTACAGCTCTAGATCTGACCCTCTCAGTTCCCTCTACACTCAATGGGGAGAAATATGCTCTTTCAGGGTTCAATTCACCTAACATATTTTAGATATTCATACAAAAATGAAATAAACCACACCATAGAAGCTGCTTGTTCTCTCCAAAGAGGGTAAGAGGAGATGGGGGTGAAGCTCAGATGTAGAGCTATGCTATGAATGTATATTGTTGATGAGATGCATTCTCCTTTCTAATCTCCTCTGTTGACCACTGATGTGAATAGTAATCTTTCTCTTTTATGTCAGTGCACTTGGTTAAAACCACTGGGTTTGAAAAGGTAGTTCAAAATAGATTTTTCTGTCTTCAAGAATAAAATCAATTTCAGAAGTAGGATAGCACAAAGTAAATAAAAACGTTATAGATGCCATATTGTAGGAAACAGAAACTACACAAAAGAAAATTAGGAAAGAATGAGGAAACACTGGGATATACAAGTACTACAGCTATACGTATTAAAAATGTGGTAAAAAAAGAGAACATAAGCATACAAATTTAGATGGACAATCACCAGATTTGAAAGGTGAATTCTTAAAATACTGTCTGCTGTGAACAATCCATAGATTAACTCCAAGTAATTTCATAGAGCTAGCAATTAGACAAGTAAGTGCTAACTGCATATATCTTAATATTTTAATATTAAGGTTGAATATTTATTAAAAAAAATGCAACATTTAATTTTTTTTACTAATACTGCTTTGCTACCAAACATAGAAGCACATATAATTTCAATCACGTGATCAGTGATATGTGCCTTGATGAACTATTCCCTCACTAGAAACTAGAAATGAGTACATACTTTCAAGGCAGGGGCCTTTTTCATGAGGAGCTCACTAAATAAATGTATTTCACAAACAATGTGTTTTCTCTCCAGAAGGAACAACACAAGAATGACTTGCAACAAAAATGTCTGAAATAACCCCACAAACCATGGAAACCATAAAGCCATCTTCTCTGTAGATCAAGACACTGGCAATTGGAATGGAGTTAAGCACAAGGTCACTTCCTTTGTGCTCTAACTCAGGAAACCTGAATTTCTGCTGCACAAGAACCTGGTGGGGCTTTGCATCTGAATATATTCAGATCATAACTATACTGTAAGAAAATGGGACTACGCCTGACATATTTCAAACTGTTTGAACTAGGACAAATTTCATTTATCTCTCTCTTCATCTTACTGAGATGGACAAAGGCCCATTAGCATCACAGTTTCAGAACCACAGAGGACGGGATCTGTCATCAACAGATCTGCATAAACCAGATGCTCGGATATGCACACATAGGTAACTCACTGGCAGTGACGCATGGGAGAGAGACAGCCTACAGTTTCTGACAGACTGAAGATATAATGCTGAAGATGCAAGACAACACACACTTGCAATACCTGGCACTAAATAAGTGTATGCATTTCAGTGACACTAATATTAAAATATTAAAAAATAAAACTGTTTATAAAGCTGAATATTTAAAACAGTCCTAGGGCAAAGTTATTTGCTTTCCTAGAGTGCCTGAGGAATGCAAGCAGTGAACATGTTTCCTTCATCTATGATGAAGAATCTAAGAGTTTAATGGCAAAAAAAAGTAGTGCCATTCAGGACCCAGGGTCATGCTTGTCTTCATGCCAGGAAGAAATGTGTCCTGTGTTGCTCCAAACTCTGACTTTTAACACTCAAATAATGTGTTTTGGAGAATGGTCACTTTGTAGGAAAAAGTCACAAAGAGGGCAGTAGAGCATCTGAAGACCCTCAGCATAAATTCTCACAACTGCCCTGCACAGGCCAGAAGTAACATGAATTCCACTCATCTAAAGATTAGGTTATTTTGTTATATCCCTTTCTTTACACAATTGATATTGTTTGCAAACATATCAGAATGAATGTAACTGATAAATACTATTTATCAGAACCACATGGTTCTGAAAATTAACATACAGACTCAGACAACCACTAAAGCTGGCTTTCTTGGAAAGGTGGACTGGACCGGACCCTATACAAGAATGAAGCTATAAGGTATGAAACCCTACAGTCAGATTTCAGACATGCATAGATATGTGTACAGAGAAAAGCAAAGTCAGTATTTTTTAAAAATCAGTCACAGCAGGCTAGTTCTTTATACTACTAAAGATTTCTCTTCACAATTGGAATCAAGTTCCTCATTTCATTATGATAACATGATACCTATGAATACTAGTTTATTCGTATTTACTTAAGTCTCTGCTTCACTAATCTTAACTACAGATCTTCCTGAGTTTGCCCTCTCTACCTTGCTAAAGCATACCAATTTCCTCATGAATGAGAACATGGCTTCCGAGAAAGTTTTGGCTTCCTTTTCCATGGTACTAGCCCCTGAATGAAGTTCACAGATATCACACACACTGACCAAATTAAAAAGTAAGTCTGGTCATGTCAAATAACTACCACATATTGTGTGTCTTCTGTATGGAAAATACATGTAAAATATCAGTGCCTTGTACTGGAATAATTTCAGCATACTTCAGGTAAATCTGATTCATCTATAGAAAATGTATAAAACTGAAGAGAAATCACACAATGCTATGACTAATTGTTTTGAATGATTGTAAGTGAAAAGGAGAATTTATATATTTGTCCCTACAGAAGAGCAGAAATAGGAACAGTAGAAACATTTTGTTTTCACTTGCGATAAGATGTGCAGGCTTTTTCATCAAAATACTGGATTTGAGTTCACACTGTCTTTAAAATGGAGCACTGCTTGTAAACTTTATTTTTAAAATGGAGTGTATATTAAATATAAAATGTATTTCCCAGTAACAGTATAAAAGATATCATCGATCTGAAAATTATTATGTAATATAATGCTTTAGTGGAAATGTATAGACTTTGATTAAAATACCAGGTAAAAACATGTCTTCCTCTTTTTCTAAAGCTTCACTCAGAGCTCTCTTCACAAAACCAAATACTTAATGATGCTAAATGCTTAACAGTGAAAAATTGTGTGGGTGTTGACCAGGATCCATATTATAGTAATTCATTTCTTTTTCAAAAGAGTAAAGTATTTCTGTTTCAACCAGATGGAAACTTTTGGTGATTCCCCTCATAAACAGAGGGTTTACTGACTAATAACTCTTACTCACAAACTCTTTATTAGGTAACTAGAAGACTGAAAAGCTTAGCACTGCAACATATACAGTTTCTAATAAGGGAGCAAAAGAGAGTTTGAAGAAAACATGTTACAGAATAAAGACCTACTCTCTTCTAATAGCTACCTTTGCAAACACAAAGTAGCAGGTCTTAAGCAAAATCACCTTAACTTGAAACAAACCAAATTGGGTAGTATTAACCTTCTAAAAGAAGGTGACCAGTGGAATGCCTTAAAAAAAAAATTAAAAAAAATCTATCTTATAACTACTTTTGTTTAATGTTTTAATGACTGATAAACTGGCATAAAAGAAGGTTTACACTGTTAACATCTGATGATGATACAAAGTTGGGAACATTACCATGCAGAGGAAGATGACAATATCACACAGGAAAACTTGTATAACCTTGAAATGGGATGACATTTCAAAGCATAAAGTACAAGAACATGTACCTAGAGGAATAAAAATCTCACAAGCCATATGTGCTATAGACTGGAAACTCATCAGTTGGAAAGAAAACAAAGAAAGAGAAGGACCTGGGGGCACCATTTGACCATGGATGATTGTGGTCCATCAATGTGAGGCTGTCATGAAAAAGACATTTGTGATCCCAGGACACACTACATAAGGTGCTTCCCGGACAGACTGATTAAACACCACTGAGCAAGGCACAGCTGAAACCTCTTCTGTAATACTGTGACAGTCCCGGCCATCCTTATTTTAAAAGGATGCATAAACTTCACAGAAGGACTACTGGAGTAGAGTTAAGAAAGGAATGTCTTATGTGAGAGTGTCTTTGTGAAGTTAGCTGTTTTAGCACACCAAAACAAAAACGAAAAAAAGACTAATTTCACAAAAACATTGAGGAAGTAAGTGTGAGGGAGGGAGGAAATCCTATTTAAGCCAAGGTGATGTGAGCACCAGAACAGATGAGTATAACCACCTGTCCATGAACACATGATGAAAATGAGCAGACCAGATTTTAACCAGCAGAAAACATGAGATTCTCAGATAGCCACACAATCAGGGCATGGAGGACAAAAAGCATGTTTAAATTTAGGATGGTGCTTGATTACTTTATGAGTAGCGTTTACATGATGACATTGCTTGCAACTGCCAAGATTAGGCTTGATGATCTACGAATTTCTCCAGTCTGGGCCAAAGACGTACAATAGCTTTCAAACCTGCTCCAAAGAAAGCAGCAAAACTAATGACTCAATGTCATCCCCTAATGTGAGGATGAAGTGTTTAAAAAGAAATTCTCCTCTGGCCTAAACCAAAGGCAGTGGTTCCAAAGCAAGGAACTATGAATACTGAAGACAACTGAGCACTCTTTCCCCATTCTAGCATGCAAGATGACTCCAGCTATTAAGAGGCTTCAAGCATGAGTATACAATTTTATCTCTCAAGCAATCTGGAAAGCAAAAACATCTGTTCTAAACCCAAAATAATTTATTTTTCTTACCCCAACATATATTTTATGAGTAGATCTCAAAAATCTGAGGGTTAACACAGTCTTTAAAAGGTCCAGAGCATCCTTTTCACATGACAATAAAGTGTCTCACATTTATGGCTATGACTTAAAAATTCAGGAGATATAATCTTGATGCTGAATAGCCCCAAACCAGTCAAAATGTACACCAACTAATAATATATTGCTTTTATATCAAAGTCTAAAATATAAAAAATACCTTCGATTCAAAGAACACCACCCACAGTAGGGATCCTTTGCAGATAAGCATTCTTGCTCAGAAACATATCTACTGCAATTTGCAACTGGTATTCTTCTCACCTAAAACCAAAGAATGCAATAACATGCTGAATTAAAATAGCCTCCATAAACAGGGAAATTTAGGGTTACCATTAAAAATCTGACAGCAACCAAGCACAATCCCTTTGGGGAAGTTTCTTTATGGAGTTCACTCTGCCAGAAGACCTTTGGATAGAAATATGCAGCCTATTTAACACACGCTGTATTTTGCTATCAGATGATGAAACGCCTCTGACAATGACAGTTTGGTTCTAGTACTCAAAGGCCAGCATGAACAGATTAATGAAAGAAAGACTGGTTAGCATAGTGAATAGATAACAATAGAAAGGAAGTATATTTTACAAATAATGCTCTGATTAGCAGAACACCGTTTTCCTCTCATCAGGACTGACATTTTAAAATGATTGATGAAGGTGCATTCAAAAATGCATGCGCAAACCAAAATGCATCTGTGTTTGCATCACCATGTCAGGTTACTGCATGTGCACACTAGAACAAACGCATGCAACTACTTAACATGCATGAAAATGCCATTTCAATAAATAAATGTAGATAATTGTGGCTATATTATATGTAGCTATACTTGTACATTCAGCTCGAATATCCTAGCCAGCCATTTTCAGAAAAGGAAAGGAAAAAGAAAAAGAGAAAGCTGATTACAAATACTGAATACAAATACAAATAATTTTATTAATAACAATGTTAATTAATAATCTTAGTAAGAAAAATATTCCCAATTCAAACCATTTTTACCAAATTTGCAAGAATTAGAAGTTCTTGTATTTTGTGAACAGAAACAAGGATACATGGCTTTCTGCAAAACTGTATGTACTGTTTTTTCCAGCCATACCTTGTAAAATTCAATTTATCTGAAAGTGTGTGAGGTAATCAGTTCAGAAAACAGCCAACATCATAGACTACTAGCAAGTTAAAAAAAAACCAACAGTGTAGAGGCCTTATTTAAGCTCCAAGAGATGATTAGAGAGGCATTTATTCCTAAAAAGCTGTTGCTCCTCTTTAACAACTTGCTCTTTTACCAAAGGTCAAGAAAATTCAAATCTTTACTTTGAATATCTACATATACTTTTGTCAGAAATTTTGATTCCTTCTGCTTTTGTGATAGATGCTTTATATCAGCTGGGAATGCTCCTACCAACCTTCACACTCCTTCAGACAGCAGGCTAAAATGCTATGTTCACTGCTGAAAAGTGATTTTATTGTAAATGAAGTGCTAGGTGAAATCCCATCCAGCTAGAGATGGACAGCCAGTCCTTATGTTTTCACTGCCACCTTCCTTGTTGCTGGTGAGACAAAGGAATTTGCTGAGTGGATGCTCAATAGCCCTGCTTCAGGACATGCTGTAACATCCGCACCGGCACCTGGGAGCTGCTTTCTGCTTGACATGCAGCTCTGATGTGTTTGTGCAGTAGCTCCCAGTGATTGCTGAACTTCTTAGCCTCACTATGCATACATATTAATCACTTCTGATTGTGTTTTTGTTTGGTTTTTGGTTTTGTTTTGGGTTTTTTTTAGTCTAACTAAAGACAATGAGAATTTTATGATTGATTTTAGCAGAACTAAGACAGCAAACCCGTCTCTCAAATTAAGAAGAGATTTCTCCACATTACAAACTCCACAACTGACTAGCAAACCCTGGCCTATCAATACCTGGATTGCTAATTCAGAGGAAGCCAGTGTCCAAAGAGTCTACAAGTTTTGTTTGCTATCTCCAAGCTTGATTCTCCATGATGCCTCCAGGAAAAAGAGAAACAGAGACTCTCTCAACAGAATGACATAAAATAAGTATGGGATTAAGAGTGTTGCTGGATCATAGCAAATGGGCAGCACCATGACAGTGGAAGCTCTTCCAAGCTCTGCAGAAGTGCAGACCAAACTTAGACAACAGATATTAAATGTAAATTTGGTAACTGCAGTTTGGATATTTAAGGTCTAACTCTGACCCAAACTGATGCTTCACTTACAAAGTGGCAGAAATCCCTAAAGCAGCAGTTTATTTTATTTTTTTGTTTAATATTGTGCTTACCTTATTGGCAGAGGACAGATAGATGTAGTTATTATCTACTGGATCAAGTCGAAGTTTGGGGAAAATGGAGGTTTCTTCCTTAATTTCATATAAAACCTCTGGGCAATTAGATTCCATATCCTCATTAAGAATAGCCTAAAACACATGAAATTAAATTATTCACAAGTCCTTTTATTGATCAGTCATCACTTTAAACAGAAGCCTGATTTCAGTTACATCAGAGCTCATGAGATGATTTACTGTGCTCTGATTCAATTCACCTACTGCACTGGTTCTCACACTGCAGAGATAAAGACCGCCAGAACAGAATTTCAACAAAATCCCTGTCAGATACCTTTTGCACTAAATCTGGCACTGGTTTAGTGTATGAAACATCTCTCCCACCAAGTACGTTCCTGATTGACACAGAAACTGAATGTGGAAGAGATGCCTATATCCCTAAGTCATGTGTTAAGTACTCCTATGAATGAAGAGGAAAATATTAGTCTTCAAAAAACAAATTAACATTCAGACACCCATAATGTAAAAAGAAAGCTACACAAGTTACTGACTACTGTCTTAGGACAGAAGTTTCTTTGTGGCTTCTTTGTGAGCACACATCTGAGGTGGTATTCCTTTTCTTGCCTTGCCCAACTCTATAGTTTTCTACAACCCTTTGCACAGAATTGAAGAGAACTGAAACTATTTTGCAACTTAATAAGCATATGAACCTTGATATAAGGTTTTCCATACACATAATTAAACAAGGGAGATGTGTTCATCATCTCCACTGTGCTAGGGAGACACAGAAGACTACAATTTCATTTTTCATTATCAAAAGCATAGTGAAATCAAATGGATAAAAACTTTCCAAGATCTCTATTATATTCCTCTCCAACTGCCTGCTTAATAAAAAACAAAAATGAGAGTCATCCTTTGCAGTGTAGACAGGAAATGCACATTCTTGCAAAGCCCAGAAAAAACCTGAAACATAAAAGACTGAATGGTTGAAAAGTTTGATAATGAGATAAGATGACTTTCACTTCCAGGTGACTGATTTAAGCTAGTGTAGGTCAACTATTCAGAAGCTAAGGCAAAATGAATCTTGATTTTTTTCTCTAACAGACAGCTATTCACATCACACAGATAGGCTAACAAACAAATAAATATGCTTCCAAAATCTAATAATATTTAATATTTCTACTGGAAAATCAAAGCAAGGAAGGAAACAAAAGACAGGGTAACTGAGAACTCCATAGTACATAAATTGATACTGTGGGCATTAGCAGTTTAATGAAATGTTTCCATGAATTTTAAGTAGGGTACATAATTGCTTTTGAAAGTTATCTTGTTCTCCAAGTAACAGTACAGCAGTTACTTCACAAATAAACAAAAAAGAAATAGAGATTCAGGGGATTATATCTGTTTATAATACAGTGCCTAAACCAGGAAACATTTACCCATTTGAACACAGCAGCAGCTGATGGATAAAGGAAGAACTGCCACATTCAGCTTACCTTCAGTAACTGTCCATCATCTGTTCCCAAAAAGAGAACTATCTGATTCAGAACAACTGTGCCATAAACAGCCACTAATCCAGAGTGAATCAAGGTAGGTAATTTCTTGATTGATTGTGCCTCCTGAAAATCAGATATAAGAGAAAGCTATTATAAAATCATTCACCTATACTGCAAAACATTAAGAAGAATCCCTGGAAAGATTCTCAGAGAACTCAACTTTAGACAATACTTTGGGTAACATTTTAATTCTGACACAATTTCAGAGCAACATATCACTGGAAATGGCACAGGAAATGTGAAACTAGTTTTTTATACACGGCAACTGTTCACATCAGTGATAAAGATTACATCTACTGCAGCTAAATCACTAACTTCAGTAGGACACAGACTTGGTCTAACAGCAACAAGACACTTTGCAACGGAATTTCTCTTTCCTGGGACACCGTGCCCTGGGCGTATTCTGAATTGCCTGTTCCTCTCAATGAAGACATGCTTTGCCATCACCTGGCTGCACCTACCATGAAGCCTACAGATACACTCAGCAACCACTTTTAAAGGCATGCAAGTATTCTGGAGAAATGAGGCACTTCAAACACAAAACACTCTGTGTGTGTGTGTGTGTGTGTGTGTGTGTGTGTGTGTGAGAGAGAGAGAGAGAGAGAGAAAGAGAGCGATAGAGCGATTGAATGTGGACCTTCATCCTCCCCCTTCTGGTTTCCTGCTTTACACTACAGGAAATTGAGACTTACGTGTTACATAAATACAAAAATGAGATAAAGCAGTATAAAATTCATGTTAGGGAGAACATAAATGTGTGCGCACTTTAAAATCAACATGTCACCTACAATTCTCCATCTAAGTTGGAGGAAGTTGAGTGACAAACACTTGTAAACAGCTCATGAAAGAAAAAATCATGCAGGAAATCCCTGTATCTTGTGAAAACAAAAACCAAACCAAACAACCCCAACTGCAGACAATCGAGTGCTGAAAGTAAGCCCTGATGTATGAGAATAAGGTGAGAGATGGTCTCTGCCCTTAACTACCTACAAGCCCAGATATCTCCCTAGCAAGCTGTAACTCAGTCCTGCAGTCCTGTAATTGCCTTAAATTAATCTCCATGGCAGATACTGCCAAAGGTGCGATCCCACCTGCTCTCCAAATGGGTGCAACTACAGCCAAGCATTACCTCCCCTTCCCCTCTAGTAGTATAATGCTTTCCAGTGAGGTTAGTTAAGGAAATGATGTGCCTAGAAAATGGTCTGTAAAACCATCTAACTACCTACCTAAATTGTTATTTGAGTCATTCTCCTCATATGAACATGTGGCTGCACGGACACCAGTGCTGACACAAAGGAGCAACAGGCATGGAGAGGTGGGGGGCAAGAGGTCATGTAGGACCAGGTCCTTGGGTCAGCTCAGAAACTCAGGTCAAGGATGGATTCCTAAACCTACAGGAACCCTCCAAGTCCAAGAATTTATTTCACCTTAATGCACAAAACAAAGTGTGTGAATGGACCATTAAAACTGACATTTTGTAGAAAGGTGAAGGCATTTCTCAAAGTTATGAAGCAAATCCATAACAAAGTAACAGCTGAATTCAAGTCTCTTGAATGCTAGGATGCTGGCTTAAACCCAAAAAGCCCTTCCACACAGAAATACATTTTTTCTGAACTGCAATCCTAAATCAATTAAAATCTTCTTCAGTCATCTGAATTATTTTAATTAGCTTGCAAGAACAGCCACTCGGAGTAAAAGAAGACTTGATTAACTTTCATATTTAAAGATACTATTTTTTTTTCATGAAGCAGGAAGACACAGGAACTATCACGTACTGGCACAGAACTTCAGTAAAACCCACTTAGGCATGAGACTGCAGTAGCATGGAGGTCTGTTTTAGATTATGGGGTGGGGAGGGAATGATTGCAAGCATTTTAAGTTGAAAAAAAGCTAACTCAGTTTTTTATTAGATCAGAGGGTAACGAAATTCCAGCACTGGTGCACACAATGAGCCTTCACTCAGGCTAAGGAGTGAGGAGAGGAAGCTTCCAGGCTTTCATTTCCATCAGAATTAGGATAAGTTGTTTTGGGGTTTTTTTCTGCAGTGCATCATACAGTAATGCAAGGAAAAGGAACCACCCTTGGTTCCTCACAGACTCTGTACAATAAGATCACAGAAGAGGGGAGGATTCATCCAGTCTCTGAAAAGCTTGCTGCCAGATTTTATTTTGACCCACATACTAGTAAAATAACTAGTGTCATATCAGTGCATCTTCCTCATCTGACTGAAGAACCAGTACTGACAAGTGTGGAAGCCTCCTCCCCTCACTCTGCTTGCTGGAGGGAGGGTCAATGCAACATTGAGCTAATACAGATAAGAGGGGGAATTCAGATGGTGGGCAATCACAACAAAAATTGCCTTCTCTTTTTTGCAACCTATTTCTCCAGCTTACCCATTCCCTCCAGGGTTCAGCTGCTACTTTCACCCTTCTGTCATTCCTTTTCCATGTCCATTTATTTTTTTAACAAGCCCTTTTACCTCTTCCACTGTGACTAATGGTGTTACAGCACTGTAGGGCCTTCCCAAGCTTTTTCTTTCATAGCTAAATCCATCCTTAAAATGCATTTACAGTCTAAACTTCCTTTTTACTTGAAAAGCCACTCATCTCCATGTTCATCTATCTGTCGATCCTGTAACATTTGCAGGCTCATATAAAAGCAAGAAAAGCAAAGGAAAAGACAATAGTACTCTAGGAGACTTTTAATTCTTCAGTTCCACCCTCTTTTCTGTTCAATAATCCCCCTGAATCTACAAGTGCTTAGGTAAACCTAGAGATCTCCCCAATTAACTTTCATTTTGCTTTTAAGTTCGCCCCACTATGCTTTGGTTATTGCCATGAAAGGTATTTATACACATTTTCTATTTTGCATCTCATTTTCAGATTTATCTCTGCATGATTCCAGCTGCAGCAACCATATTCACACTTCTACTTTCTGTCTTGATTTCCTTCTGATTATTTCACATTGCGTGCCTCAGAGGGAAGGGCAGCATTTTTAGCTCACACAGCACTCATCATATTGCAGCTGGCCAAAAAGTAAAAAAAAAAACAAACCACGTTTGAGCATCAGAGTGAATGAACAGATGCAGCTATACAAAAGGACACAAGACTTGTGAGCAGCATATAGCCATAATCAACACTGGCACAATACATAGATGTTTTTCCTAGACAGAAAAAAATCTGGAATCTCATTCTTTTTTTATAACTTCACCACCCTTCAACCACCTGCATCAATTTTTATTATATGAGAGGGTAACTGGTACAAGCAGCAAGCCCTTATTAGAGCTAAGGAATGAACTGTTCCAAAATTTTATTTCCATGAGATTTTTTAATTTGTGCACTGCATAGCAATGCTAGGTGGACAAACCATCCCAGGCAATCAGGCTGCAAAAAATCAGGAACGATGACCAGGAAATGAGAGGGTCTTCACAGAGACCTTGCAGAGACAAGATCCCGAGCCTCATGATGCAAGGCATGAAGGACAGTCAGAGGCTATGCTTGAGCAAGAAGTTGATGGAGACTCCTGAGATGGGGGAACCTAGAAATTTGTGACTTCTTGCAGCAGCAGAAAGACTCCTTCTATGCCCTCAGATCTGAGTTTAAAGAATTCATAAAGTGTCCTAATAACCAGTGAAGGAGAACAAGCTCCATTAAGGGAGGCTTTGAAACCAGCTGAGCTTGAACAGAGTATTAGCAGAAAGCAAGAGAAAGTGGTGGGTGATCATGGTTGGAGATTCCCTCCTGTGAAAACTGCTAAACCATCATGCTATTACAACAGGTTTCTTCTTTTTTCTCAGGGCCCCCAATCCATTATTATATTGCAGAGAGGCTGACATTGACTTTCCATTCCTTGGATCACTACTGATTGTTGCATATCCGCATTGACACCAAAGACATCGCCTAGTGCAGATCAGAACTACAGAGCTCTGGGGGCAAAGAGAAGGAGATGAGACCCCAGGCTTTGTTAATCCTACGGGGTCAGTGAAGCATGATGCTCTTCTGGATTTGGAACTCACAAACAAGGAAGAACTGCCTGGAGACGTGATAATCAATGGCAGTCTTCACTGTAGTAAGTATTAACTGAATTCAGGATCCTGAGGGGGGTGAGGAAATAACAGCAGAGCACAGAGCTGGAGAGCAGGCTCCAGCTTGTTCAGGGAACTGGTTAATGGGAACCCCCTGAGAGGCAGCTTTGAAGGAAAATGAAGCTCATGAAAGCTAGTAGGTCTTTCAGTACAACCTCCTTCAAGCACAAAACTCAGGAAAACAGACAGATGTATCAGCAGATGGCTCCTAGTTAAGCAGAGAATTCATGATTGAACAACAATGCAGAAAAAACAGTATGGAGATGGAAGCCGGAACAAGCAACTAAGGAAAAACTGCATGGATGTGTAGAGATGGTGTTAGGAAAGTCCAAGCTCATCTGGTGTTGGAATTGGCATGGAATGTTACAGGCAACAAGAAAAGCTTCTACCACCACATGAGCAACAAAAGAATAAACAACAAAACTGCACAGCAGATGATGAATAGGTCATGTGATTTACTGACAGTGGATGCAGATAAGGCTCTGACTTCACCGGCAATGTCTTATGGTCCTTTGTACCTACAGAGTTCAAGGAGGAGAGAAACTACCAGTACTGGAAGAGGATTAAGCCAGGCATTTCTTAAGAAATCTCAGTTTACAGAAATCTCAAGAAAACCAGATGGGATCTGTAGGAAGAAGCTGAGAGACTGTCTGATGACACTACGAGGCCATTCTCTCATATTTCAAAAGTTGTGGAGATGAGGGGAAGTCTCCAACAACTGAATAAAGGCAAATATTGCACCCATCTTCTAAAAAAGACAAGAAGGATGACCTGGGGAACTACACATTGGTCAATCTCACTTTTTCCCGGGGAAAATCATGGAGCAAATCCTCTTGGAAGCCATTTCTAGACACAAGAAGAAGAAAGCGACTGGGAAAAGCCTTCATGGATTAACCAAGGATAAATCATGTCTGACCAACCTGATTGCCTTCTGTGATGAAATGACCCAATTTGTGGAGGAGGGGAGAACTGTGGATGT